TCAGGTGCAGAAGTTAGGTTATACAAGGCCCTTTCATTTTACAGATCACATGGGAAATCGGTTTTCCTACAACTAAAACGGGGAGCCAACTGAGTATACGAATATGCGGTATTAGATTAGTATTTTAGTAAATGGGCAATAGAAATACTTTCGAGTTCGATATAAGTGAGAAAAGTTGATCGAAACATGTGATCTTTGCACTATGGGTAGGCCAGTAGGGTGTCCTATCTTATTTCTCAATCAGAAGATTTTGAAACAATAGCTCCTATATCATCATATATAGATTAGATATGTGTAGAAAATCCAACGGGAATCGGTCTTCTATCATTGAGATCCGATACCTAACTATACGCATGAAAAAATAGGCTGTATCTTCATTTTTTACAAAATCTTGTATATGGCTCCAGCGCATATTAAGGATCGCAATGCTATGAGCAGTGGATGGTTACAATCTATGATCATGGTACTTTACTAGTGTATATAAAGTTTGCGTTTATAGTCACATCTGAATAAAAAAAAGTTCGCGACAAAACAACAGAAAACGACCTGATGGGATATCATGGCATCGAAAAAAGTAGGATGCCAATGAGTTAGGAAGCTGATTTTTTTACCATATAAATAAGTTAACGAGAGGTCCAAATGCTGGAAGTTTCAGCCTGATCGCAGAGGGTCATTGCAATGGTGGGAGATTTCTGGTGGAACTATCCATATGTCAACTAGACATGAAGCAAACCCGAACTTCAGCTCGAAGGTCGAGTTCGTACGATGAAAAGTCAAATTGTTTGTAGCTCATAAAAAACAGTGATAACGTCTGAAATTAATGAAAACATAAGAAACACAAACAACGTATTGAGTTGTCTATATCACACACATGTATATATGTATGTAGAGGGAGAAAGAGAGCAAGATATCAAACTGAATTCGATAGTCTTAATCTTTCATACGAAAACTACATTGTGTACACAACAAAAATAAATAAGTATGACACTCGAGTTATAAAGTAGGTCCAAAATCCACATAAGGTTTGTGAACTGTGACATAATACGTAATAATATAACATGCGTTGAATACAGACATAAGCATAATTGTCGCCAGGAAAGAATATATTTCAGAGCGATTTGTTTCTGTCCATTTGCTTGATATGAATCTGTTGAGGATGTTCTATTTTTGTTAGAAAAAATCTGGTACTTGTTGGTTTCCACAACAAGCAGTTCAATCATGATTTCATCAAAAAAGAAAAGATGTAGTTTGAATGCAGTTTTCTTCTTAATTTGATCAGTAGATTATTGTTTCGAAGATCCTTTTTCTTTATCCGATTCGCTATCTATTTGAATATCAATAATAAACCGTTTATATGACAGTGGCTCTTTTGAGGAAAAAGAAATAAAGTACATCAGAATTTACTAGAACGTGATAGAGTGTCAAAAGCCGGTGTGAAAGAACGCAAGTGACAGAATTTATGTAACAGAGAATACGTAATAGTGACGTCATGCTTTTGTCAAAATAAGAGGAAAAAATAGTAATTCTTTAAATAAAGTCTGAATGACGTCATATTGAAGATAATACTTATAAAAGTTCAATGCCCACATACGGGCATCTCGTAACCAATGGGTTAAAAGTACAATTACTCCAATATTGAATTTCTTCTTTAATTTTCAATTTACGATATTTTTTTCCAAATAAGGACGAATCATGAAAGAAAATCATCGATAAAATTTCCAATCGCTTTATTTCGATACTTTTAATGATTGTCTTGAAAATGATCAGCATTTTCTCGTTTCATCGGATCCCATACATCCTCACATGTTTCAACAAAGTCAATAAGTATCTTCTTCGCATTTTCATCGAGTAGAACTATAGTTTAATTAGAATGCTATGTAATCGATGAACTCTATGAAATAATAATGTTTGATCACAATTTAGTGAAACATGAGCTGATAAACAAATGATTACTGGAAAAATACATCGCAAACAGTAACAACCACCGTCCCGTTGGCATATCTTGTATGTATAGTCATCCCTTGTACTATATCATAGTAGGAGAAAGTTTTATCATTTTCTAAATGTCGACCTGTACATTTCGATCCCATACGATATACTAGAATGTTTCCTTCTCTCGTATTCGACGTTTCAAACTAAGAATTGTGTCAGTAGGTTAAACTTCGTATATAGTTGTAGTCCATGATCATAATTATTTATAATGAACAATTACATTTGATTTTCTATTCTCTATACGTATGATATTTATCGACTTATTTTTTTTTCTTTATAATCGTAAATCTTGCAATAAAAAATACATTTTCATTCAAATTCGTGAAAAACTGATGAACCGAGGTCTATCAACTTTAATCTTCTGGCTATGCCACTAGTTCTAATTAAATAAAACAATATGTAACAAATCGAGTATATTCAATAATTTATTTCTCTATTTGCAGTGAGATTTCAATATAAAAAATTATGAAAAAATATTTATGTTCGATTATTCTCTTATGGTTTCCATTGAGTTTCAAGAGCATCATGATAATATAAAAATGCTTTATTAAGTTTGCTTTGTTCGACATAGATAGGCGCTATATTGTTGTAATTTGTTTGTCTGAATTTATGAAATAAATTGCTAGGTGATCATTTCCTTTCTTATGGTAATTAACACTAATATTGCTATAGATAATAGCGATAACCCTGGATCATCTCTTGTAAAAACTTTTTGTTCAATTTGAAGTACAACTTCATAACATTTTGTTGATTCTTCAATTTTCTCAAGTTGACTAAAGACAAAACCGAATTGATTTCATACAGTTCCTAAATACAGTGGATCACTCTGTATTTCCAATCCAATTTGATAGAAAAAATTCAACTTTTTTTCATTTCCCCATACGTATTAATAATCTTCCAAGCATTAATATAGAATTTTCTTTTAGTTCCGATAGTTATTTATCATTATTATCTGTCAAAATACTAACGAAAAACAACGTAAATTATCGAATTTATTCGATAAATAATTTTCAATAAGAAAAACAGTACCCATTGAGAAAACATATTGTTTTTCAGCCTCATCAAAATAATTTTATTGAAGTTATATCAGCAAATGGAAATGTATTACAAATAGCTGAATTTATTGAAATTTCAAATAAAACACAACTATACTCAATGAGATTGACAAAAGCTAAAATTTGATTAGTAGAAATTGATCTGAATCATTCATAATTTGTGAGAAGTTCTCTATAACTGATTCCGAATTAATCAGAGCTCATACAAAACTGAATAACTATAGCGTCAATTATTAATCAACATAACTCACGAAACATTAGAAATACAATTTTGTATGACTTCTGATCATTTTGAAATGAAATTGGTACATGGCTATAGTTCACAAACCTTATACACTAAAGATAAAGTCAAAATACAAAGGGAGTCGAAACTTATGAAATATCCATTATAATACTTTGGTAAATGAAAGAGATAAATAGTAAATTAATTGTGAGTATAGACTAAAACAACATAGAACTTTCGATATACGTTTAAAATACGTCTTTGTTTTGTTAGAGAAAGTTGCGTTCTATCGATCAATGTTTATGTAAACAACATTTGTTAGTATTTAATAGCACGAAGATAAAGCCAAATGATTGATCTAAAGCAATTATATCTGGATAATTATCTCCGTTAAAATCACCAACATCGATCCAAATATAAGTACTATTCAATTGCTCTGTAAATACTTCTTCTAAATGATAATTGCCATATTTCGATCCAACAAGTATTTGTATTCGAAATGGATCAAATTCGCTAAAAACAATATCTAAATAACCATCACAATTGAAATCAGCAGTTGCGATTTTAAATGGATTCATAGGTTTTTCAATTTTAAATATTTTATCTAAGCGACAACAACCATTTTTATATCCAGATAGCAAACCAAGCTCCTGCCTACGTATACATGAAACAGCCAAGTCTGGCAAAGTATCATTATTAAAATCTGCAACAATAATGTCACTCATCAACATATGGGTAATCATTCCTACCATTACTCTACCATTAAGTTTTGTGCCACTTCCAAGAAGTAGACTAATACGAGAATCCGGTCCATCATCCCAGACCAAAATATCTTCAAAGCCATCACGATTCAAATCAGCAGTATCAATAAATTTTAAGTTAGGTAAAGACAGACCTGGAGACCGATGTATATGTCGAGAAAATGTTCCATTGCCTATTCCAAAAAAAAAGGTAGTTTCCCACTCAAAACTAGGTAATACACCTATATCAATATAATTATCATTATTAAAATCGGCCACAGCGATACTAGTAGGCGCTTGCTCCATCAAAAGTGATACGGTCTCCAATGGTTGAAAAGATCCATTTCCATATCCAAACAGAATATATATACGTTTTCTATTAGAATTAGCAAATATAAGATCGACTTGATGATCATTGTTGAAATCAGCAGCAACAATTGGAATCGATGGATTAATGTTTCCAATAGGAAAAAATAGCTCTTGCTGAAAAGTTCCTCTACCAGTGCCAAGTAGCACGTACAAATGTTGTTTCCGAACATAGTAAAATGCAAGATCGAGTTGATGATCATTGTTGAAATCAGCGATAACAGGTAATATTGGTAGAGTATTACTAATATTTGTAGGTATCATTTCAAATTTCATTTTACATACTGAAAGAAACAATGAACTTCTTATAATTACAAATACAAAGAAAATGAATAGTTACTCACTTGATTCGATTATAGGTAGTGATGAGCTTGTCTCTGTTGTAACATTGGTTATTGAATGTTTCTGATCGTTACCTTGGCGAGGAAAATAGATAGAGAATAAAACAAGAGATGTTATGACACATATCATTAATATACAAATGATGATGATCAGTTTGAAAGTACATCGAATTGATACGTTTCTTGGAATCGATTCTGATTGTGAAAGAGTATTCTCAACAGATGCGTTAACAGACATAGTAGATATCATCTCATTAGATGAAGAAGAAGATTGAATAATATTTCTTCTTCGTTGTTTTTGATAATAATAATAAATGTTCAGAGTGATTTGTATTATATTAGGAGAGATCCATTTGAGAAAAATACTTAAACCACCCTGAAGAGCAATAACAAGAGTTACAACATACAATACATTGAACTTTTGAATGTATGTATATGAACAATATGATGGTTTACAACGTTCAAAATAAACTGAATAATCGATTGCTGGTAAGAATTCTTCGACGAATAGATTGCTGACTAATTGTAATACTGTTCTGTTGGTTGAGAAATTATTCATGGTTGTCGAAAGAGGAATAGAAGAATGAGTAGTATTAATATATCCTTCAATAAGTTTAAGACATGATTGATCATAAAAACATTCAAGAGTTGATTGAAGAAACGATTCACTTGGTGTACATCCAATTTTTAAACCTTTAATTGGAATTCTTTCAGATTTTGAATGAAACATTGCTTGACTTGTACAATTTAAATCTAAATCACAAGAACAATTATCATAAGTTATACTTTGAGTAGGTGCATAAACTTCATTTATTGTATTCCAAGGAATAATATATTCATAATTCGTTCCATATGTCGATATGACAGCATCTGCATGATTTATTTTACGAATTAAAACTAGAAGTTGAGTAAATGCTTTTGGAGTATTTGATTGAATTTGTTCTATTGAAGAATCCAGACGTTGATTGAATTCAGTTTTAGATAAAAGTTGAGTAGTGATGAAGAATGAAGTATGAAATTGATGAACTGAATTATTGATTAATTCGAGAGAAAGATCGCAAAGCCCATGAAGAAATTGCAAATGAGCTGAAAAAAAACGACGATAATCTGTTCGTGGATAAGGTAAAAGATCGCGAACAAGACCAGATGTTATATTTATTCGCCATTGATCTGAAGCAAATGGACTTGAACAAATCTATAAAAAATGAAAATAACAGTCATATTTTAAAATCATTCTTCAATACTTGATGGAATTGAGGTTCAAGAATAACAAATTCATTGTGTTTTGATGCAATAGATGAACAGAAACATTTCAGTTGATTTCTATATTTTTCAACTAAATGATTATAACGAGCAAAAGATGGTTCATAAAAAATTTTTGTTTGAGATTCTGGTCGAATAATAGTATAAAGACTGAGAATCACAAGACCAGTAATGAATAAAATAATGTATAAACGAGTTGACCATTGACCAAGGCGTTTGGCAGTTATTCGATCAATACGACTATCAAAATCTCGTGGAGAAAAAATTTTTAAATTGTTCAATTGAGTATACAAAAGTGTACTTAGACTTCTTATGATCATTACCAATCGATCGAAACAATTTCGATGAACTGTAACTAGACAGAAAACAAGAGAGAAATAATGTTTTTTTGAACATTCAACGAAACATGAACAGATTTGAGGATAAGGATAAGAGCTAAAATAATCTCGAATAAACGTCTCAAATGTTGACCAGCGTTTAAGTTGATGAAGATCAGTGGGCATTGATTTCGACAATGTTTTATATTGAAAAATACGATCTGTCCTCATTTGAATTAGTTCGAAGTTGAATGTTAAAAAATGTTACATTTGTCTTCTGTTTTAAATTTACAACATCCTTTTCACGAGTATGAAATATATTTTCGGAATAAAATTGAATTCTTAGTTCTTTAGTTCAACAAATATCATATCAAAACTTACCATTATCGTTGGGTTTTGCTTTTGGTTTTCGTTGATTTTTCGTGGTAAGTCCGTTTAAAAATACTATCGTTTTCACTAGATAAAGTGCGATTATCCGAATTGAAATAGAGACGCCACCGATTATCGATATTAATGCTATGATTATTTGAAGAGTATCTTTGGTACGAGTTCGTTTTAAATAAGTACAATATTTCGGTACGCATGATTGATAAAATTTTTCATAGAAAAGAGATGGATTCCATTCTTCGATCATTAATTCTTCAACGATTGATTTTATTAATGTATTAGGTGGAAAATGACTAATTGTTGAATTATACACAAGAGGTTGAAACAGTGGACTATAGCGCAATCGACTATGCGAGTAGATATTTTTTAATAAAATCGTTAAACAATCGGAATCAACGTAAAAGCATTCAAGTGTCGAGAAGAGAAGAGAATCAACGTCAGAACATCTTCTTGTGAAGCCTGATGCATTCAACGAATAATGATCATTGAAATATATTTCCGATGATAACCTATCCCTTCGCAAATAATAAATATGCTGACAATAAGGATTTGTTGCGCAAATACAATTAACTAACGATGATTTCGTATCATGTATTTCAATTAACTTGAATGTAAGCTATAATATGAAAAGAATTTAGAGTTTAGATCAGATTTTGAGGAATACATACGTTTAATGATGTTTTATTGATTGTTTTATTTTCCAAATGATCAACGAATAGATTCGCATCATCGAAACCACCACCATTTTGTGACCATCCCATATAAAGTTGATCAACTTGAGTAAAAAGACTTGTTATTTTGACAATTACACGAAAAGATGTCATTGCCGACTGAAAAGATTGATTCAATACTTCATTTATTTGTGCGTCAAAAATAGTTTTATTTAACACATTGGAAACGGCAAACTGTTGTAGAAGTAATTGATTTACTGTATCATCAATTGTTTTGTTAGCCAGTCGACAAAGATCAGATAATAATTGAAAGTGAGATCGAGCATGATTATACCAATCATAGACCCCAGGTGTACCTCTGAATACCGACACACTTGATATCCAACGTTCACTGACAAAGTCACTATGACACACTTGATGCATAATCGGAGATAACTCAAGAAATTCTCTATAAGGAATTGTCATTGCAGAACAAGGACATTTTAATGTATCCGTATATAAGACTTTTAAATTATTATAAGTATCGAATGATGGATTTCGTTCAGTTATAGTAACATTTTCAGTATTTAATGTATGGAAAAGAAGAAGAATCATGAATGAACCTAAGCATAAAGGAAAAAACATTTTGTCGCATAATAAGATTATTTGCTCAAAATGGTAACGAAAGTTTTAGATAGAATGTGTCGTATAATTTCGATTCTCAAACACAATCTATATATATCTGAAGATAATCCTACCGATAAGAAGAATGATGTAGACACGTGTCATAATCTGTTGCTGTTTTATACTATTCGCTGTTCGATCGGCGGCGGTTTTGTACAAATTCAACTGTTGTAATGATCTACCATATTTACGTAAACGTACAATAATAGTCACTACAAATAGAAAAACGTCATATTTCAATATTATTATCAATGAAATAAATTACTATTGTTATTTGTTGATTGAGATTTGAGATTGAACATCATATTGATAAAATATGGTATGAAGAAACGAAGTATGGTTGTAAATCCACCATAAAGACTGATAAGAATAGTCAATGCATAATAAATATTTTTTTTATCTTTTGTTGTGTATGAACAGGATAATGCTGCACATTGTCGAAAATATTCTGAATAATTGGTATCTATTGACCAATGATCAATGAAAAGATCTTCTAAATGATCATATAAAGAAAGATTTTGCTGTGTTGAAGAAAGAATTGAATTAGTCGAATTGAAATTTGTCTATAAAAATGAAATAAAAATTAACGATTATCAGATCACTAGTCTTACTTGGGTAATAGATGGAATATATTCGATTAATAATTGAATACATTCTTCATCAGATAGACAATCGAGTGTACTCCGAAGAAAACCTTCAAAAGGTGTACATGCTGCAGAAAATCCAATAATAGGTTTATTAGAGGGTAGATCATATGCTGTTACTAATGTTCGCTTCAAATCTGCAGGACTTTGTGTTGCATAAAAAACAGCCTCCATAAATACATCTGGGCCTCCACACGGAGCTCCGTGTATAGACTGTTTTAGAACGTAATATGACGCATATTTCTTAGCAATGTACTTTTTCATTGGATGAAGTTCAGTTATAATCTTTGTATTTGTATTGAGGGCAGAAATGTAATTGTTTGATTGAGTAGTAGTATTAATATAATCAACATATGACATCAATCGAATCGATGTACTATTCCGAACTGATTCGACAGTAGTGTTCACTTTTGATTCAAGTTGTTTTTTAGAAAGAAGATCAACAGTAATTAATTCATAATTACCAATTTCAGCTTCAGCCTGGGAGATCATCTCTTTAATGCGAGAACAAAAATCAGCCAAAAGTTGAAACTAAAGCAAATGAAAATCAGCTTTATATTTCTTATTCGAAAGTATTCAAATCCTATAAAGAAATTTGATAATTATTCTAGAATTACCTGAGAATGAGCTATCATTCGAAAATCTCCTGGTATATATCGACTGGCATTTGGTGAATTTAGAGCTTTGATCCATTGTTGAGTGATGAAGTAGCTCAGACAGACAGGATGATATGTTATGTGATGGGAAACAAATTTTTTATAAACTATCGAGGTGTTTGAACATGGACATGGCAGAAATTTGTCATCTTTGGGATCGATTTCATCCAAACTTGTTTCACTAATATCAGTGATCGTAATTGTACGAAATTGTGTTTCGACCATGGAGATGTAGAAGAAACAGTAGAGTGACACTGAAAACATAAATGAACAAATCTATTAATAAAAATCCCTGAAATTCTCTTGAGAGTAAAATGAAATCAAGAGGTAAAGAGCGGAATCTAAGAATTCTGAAGTTACTTTGATGATATTGAATGATGTTTTGAATAGTTTACCGTCTAGATGTATCGTTTAAAAATATCGAACTCGTGAGCATATCTGTAAACATTGTCCTTATTGTCAATCGATCAATATTCTTCAGATTCGAATTGTCATTCCTTATAATTAAATATAAACAAGTAACGCGCATCTCTTAGGTAATAATAAAAGACGCACCGTAATTGCTAAGAATCATCTATTTCACGGATCTGATCAAATCGACCATCGGGCTTGAAATAAAACAAAGATTTGTCTTCGTTCTGCCGAACCCTATTTAAAAAGTCATGAGTTCATGTTAATACGATTCCTGAGAAATAAAAAAGCAGGAGAGTCACAATTTTACATGTCCGTCTATCTTAATTTTTGATATGTTTGAGATGTAATTTATATCTTTGATATCTGCGAATTAACAACAGTAGAACCGTTATTAAGTGCGTGACTTTTATTTTCATACTTCTGATATAATCGTTTTATGAACTACCTCTTTTTCCGATTACTTGAACTGCGGTTTATATAATGCATTGACTAAATCTTATACTAATAGCTCCTAGACGGTTCTAATGATATATAAGCCACGAACGTTGATCGACTCATCACCTATCTTTAAGATTTCTTCTACTGAGAAAAGAATAATAGATCCATACAGAATTGATTAGGAAGAATCGAACTCAAATTTAAACTTGAGCAAAAACTTGAAAAATCTCCCGTTGATCTTTTTGAAATATAATAAAATATTGCTGGAATCTGATTGAATTATGTAAACAGACTCCATGCATTTTTAACGACCCTACAACAACTGGTTTCACAAAAACAGAGTTATAAATCGTTTTTCATGAAAGGAAATAGTGAATTCTAAACATACGTCTATGAACAGCATTATATTCTTATGAGCCCCCTTGAGAATCAGCGGAATCCAAATGACAGGATTCTGCTCTTACCGTCTTCGATAGAATTGTGTAAAAGTATAGAGTGCGCACTTAGTATTATCCGGAAAAATGAAATTTTTATGCTTGATACGTTATATGCTCCCAGTTATAGATATTGTGAAAACACTTAGATTGTTTTGTTATGCTAATTTCATTTATCAAATGAACGTCTTAAATCTGGGCATTACAAGATTTTTGTTGTATTTCATTTCGTAATAGAAACAACCATCTTGTTCCACCTTACTTCCATTCTGGTTCTACTTCTATCTTGATTTCAGTCTCATTTGCCGCTATGAGTCAAAAAGAAAACTTTGAACTCCTTTCAACTTCAGAATATAGTTCGTCAATTTCAAAATTACATATATATTAAGGTGAAGATAATGTATCTATCATTCTAGGATTTAATACATCAAAACCTGCAATTCTCAGAACTAGAGTCCGGCAGGAGCGGATTTTTTCATCCCGATCCTGGTCCCGTTGAAATATTTTCTCGAGATTTTGATAAGGACATCATCGTTTACTGATAATATGTGCCCAGACCCTGACCATAACAAAATAACCTCTTGGGATTAGAGTCGGGATCGGGATAGTCCCACCGGACTCTACTCAGAACATATAATATATGAAGGAGTAAAGTAATGGTACGTTGAGATAATACACTGAAACATTGTCTAATGACCTAATATAGTATGTTATGCGGTTTTCCAAATGAAAGAACAGATACATTACGTACCAATAAGAAGAAGAATATATAACCATGTGGAATATTTCTGACGCTTTACAATAGTTGTTCGATATTGTAAGTCATTTCTGCTTTCATCAAGTTCATCTTCTTCGTCTTCTTCTGGAATAAAGAAATTCCAATGTCGTACATAATCATAACACCAATAAAACAAAACTGTGGGCTGCATGATGATTGATAAAGACTAAAACGTTCTTCTCATGATTTCACAAATGATCCAAATATTTTCTTCGACAAATATAAGTACAATAAAATAAACTTTCTTAGGGTTGGAAGGTGACAAGATAGTTTCACCAGAAATATCGACTGAAGTTTGAAAGGAACGAGAGATTACAGATGAACATAGAAAGTAAACTCATCTATAATATAAATGACATTATTCAGCGTTATGCTCAGGTGAAAAATGTGCTACGAAAACGCTAGCTATGCGCGATTGGATAGACCTCACTTGGCTTCACTTACACAATTACTACTTCTAAGTAGAATATCAGCTTATACGTAAAAGAATTGGGTTTTATCTCTCGTGCATTTAATTAACGAGAATATCTTAACAGATGAAAGAGAGAAAAAGGACAACATGAGTAGAAAAAATAAAACATTCTGTCAAAAAAGATTATCTCTTAATAATGGAATCAGAGTTTTGTGAATGATAGAATTTAATTATTAGAATTTATTTCGACAACAGCACTCATCGTATGATACAAACGATTAAATAACGATATTTCGAAACTTCTTCAATGAATTGATATAAATTTCTGTAAATTATTTGTTTTACTGGTCCTGGGAAGCGAGCCAAATACAGTACCCATAGAAATGGACCAATTAAATAAGAGTCCGTATTCTAACATTATGTATATACAAAGCGTAATGAGGCAATTAGTTGATTGAGTATAATTAATTAAGACTACTCTAAGTAACTTACAAGGCTTGCCTCTGAGTACCATGAGTAGTTTTTCCAAAGCAATCTATGGATGCTCCTAAGCGAAAAAGAAAAGTGTTTTCTGTAATCCATGAGAGTCTACGAGAATTTGGGTGTCTAATATCCGTGTTTTCCTTGCTCTGTTCACTATCTCCTAGATCAGTCAATCTGGTGTAAAACCAAACGAGTCCAGCACTTTCTCACGATTTTCCATTGAAGTCCAACAAAAACCGAGTTTTTATGTGAGACCATATATATAATTTATTCCTTGAGAAATAGAATAGTTGAAAATTTTATTTAGAAATCAATTAACACGAACGGGGTAATAAATTTTTTTGGTATTTAATACATGACAGATGTCAGTATTGAAACAAACTAACAGAAAGAATAGAGATTGTTATACTGTAATTTGTCGACTATGTTACTTAGATGATATATCACACATTTTTTGTCTTTTTAACTAGCTCTTACAGAACACAAATAATACCAGATGATAGGTTTTTTCTTTGTTTGGCACACATATTTTAATTCAAGAGTTTATATATTTTTTGAATAGCATAAGGATGCAACCTGTTGTAGTTATTCCTATTCAAATGAGAATAGTAATAATAAACAATCTTGAAAATCAGAATCTATCGTATGTTACGAAAGATTATATTGTTGATTAAAATACAATCTTTATTGAATTTAGTGAAACTGTATCTATATCAATACTAATAATATTTGATAATTTCATTATAAGTTTTTTTAGAATCATCTAGTTTGTTCGATTTATAGTTATTCACTGAGGCAATAGAAAAGCTTTATTATTAAATTCGAATTAAAATAGATTTGCATTCAATAAAAACATTACAATAAAATATTCTTTATGATATTTAATGTTGATCTAAAAACAATATGTTCTTATTTTCTCAATGTAAAACATTCTCTAATTACAATAAATAATAAACTACATTTATGATGATTTTATTCTAAGTCCTATTGTTAAAAAGGAAAGCAAGTATTGATGCTATATTTTTTTCAACATTGAAATAATCAATTGATGAGAAATTAGAATTCATTTAATAGATATCATATTAAATTGTTGTGTTTTAGATTTTCGATTATAACTGTAACGACAAGCTGGTTGAGTAGCTGACCGCTTCTCACGGTATCGACGTTTATTTACTACTCTACATGACCAGAATGTATCTCTTTCACAATACGACACGCACTTATATAGAGAAGAGGAAAGAGAGATATGACTCGAAGATAATATGATATAGAGGTGAGAGAATAAAGAATAGAAAGAGATGAACGATATCATTATCGTTACAATAACAATCTGCGATAGTGATAAATATGGATCATACATTAACAATAAATAATGATGTAAGGTCTATTAAATGAAAGATGTGAAAATAGTTTTAATTTACTTATTTTAGTTACATTCAGCTGACAATAATAAACATGAAGAAAGAATTACTTCACAAGAAACAGTACCTTATGTACATATGAAACATTTGATGAAATTCTAAATTGTATTTTCTTCTAGGTCTGTAGAAGTTCGAACATCAAAACGAAAATGCTTGATAATTTCTATGATTATAATTATTTTGATTGTGCTAATCGCGGTTTTAGTTCCAACAATCATTTTCACAACGAAGAAGAGAAATGTGATAGAGGTATCAACAAGTGAAATATCGCCAATAATCGCAACAACAAAAGCAGCAATAATTACAACAGAAACCTTCACTACTACAAAAACAACGACAGAAAACTTGAATTCTGCAACACCAACAACAGAAGCAATGCCCATTAGAAAAACAACAACAACAATGAACTTAATAGCAAAAACAAGTAAAGTCTTCTCTAACGAACATAATAGAATACCAGAATCTTTATTTATATAAGGGCGATTCCATGGGACTTGTGACACGATATACACAACATTCACCAAATCGCTTGAAACTTTCAGGACGCATATAATAACAAGTAACGCTCATCCTTTGGGTTCGCTGACCCTTTTCTGGAAGACTTTTCCGAATGCTGAACACATTCAGAGACTTTGAAAGAGAAAAAAACGCACTGCGATTGCTACTAGTGCTCAACTGAATCATGGCACTATGTCACACACTAGAATGAATAGGATGCAAAAGTCTTTTTAGGGATCAGACCGATTAGCCATTTGTCAGTGGATAATTCTCCAGCACTAACTATANCGTTTATTGGTGAAAACCAAGCAAGGAGAACACACGTACAATATGTGAGAAGAAACGGTAGAACAACAAGAAGAGGAGAAGAGATGAAGAAGAAGAGAACGAACGAACGATAGAAAATACTACTGTATATATATATGTGTGTGATGGGGAATAATCCTTCACATATATATATATCAGTAAGGAAAAGCCCGAAGAATATCCCATGATTCAAGATGGATATTTCCAGTTATCTTTTGGTATAATCCCTTATACCTACAGGTAGAAGATATTAGGTAACGGTGAAATTATTCGATAGTATATGTATTTACTTCGTTTCATCTTTCAATTCCGACCTTCGATAGAGCCATTTTCATTTTCCGACATAATACCCTGACTGACGTCTCTATGATAATCCAAAGATGTAATCCGATGACTATTCAGCGTAGTCGCCACACAATCCCGAAAAATAAAGTATGACCCTAGCGAAATCCTAAAAATATAGTTGTGTTGTTGATTAAACCTGGTTGGATCTTAAAGTCGAATCGATAAATATGATTTGACAATAAACTCCAAATAGTCTGCCACTTTTCAGCTGATTTTTATGCAAAAGTCAACTTGGGTGCTTACCAGAAAATCATAAGCAGACTTCAATTCATTCTCTAGGTCATCAATGTCAAAACAAATATCTGAAAACTACTCGGTAGTGTCGGCGTTTCCTAATGATGAGATCGCTTGTTGCCGAAGGTGATCAGGTGGATGGGAACGGTGAAATAGATTCTACCTTGCATTACATGACTAAACGTTTTCAAGATCAGAAGAAGTTTACGAAAAAGAAACAAATCTATTTTGGCATCGAACAGGACAAGAATTAAAACTTTGTTTTATCTATCTAAAAATATTTTCAAAATGGGAAAAAGTAAGGAAACGTCTTAGAAGTGAGAGAAAATCTCGAAGAGTATCATGTCTAAGCCTTCGTAATAGAAAGAACCCAGGTCATTTCCGCTCGGTCGGAACCGGCCGGATTTCTACAGGTTTTTACCGGCAAATTCCTACTGGATCCAGACAGAAACGACGACAATTGAGAACGAGCTGGACCCGGTCACCATCAGGAACCAGCTGCATCCGGTGACCGTCGAAAACCAGTTGAATCCGGTGATAATCGAGAATCAGCGGGATCCGGTGATAATCGGGAATCAGCTGGATTCGGTTGGGAAAACACTACTGCGACCATTTATTTCTGCGATAACTTGGACTCTCTCTAGCTCGTCCGAAAACGTGAAAGCGTAAGCAATTTTGTACGTAGCATTACTTCCTGCAAAGCATAAGGTGAACCGCAAACATGATGTGGTTTTATTTCTTTGTCCATGAATATTTGTACGCGCGACGCGTCTGACTGACTTTTTTTCTTCACATCGCTCTATTTTTTCCTTTCTAATGTATTATTATCATTTCGAACGGACAGCACAGTTATATGAACAAGTAACGCTCATCCTTTGGATTCGCTGACCCTTTTCTGAAAGACTTTTCCGAATGCTGAACACATTGAGAGACTTTGAAAGAGAAAAAACGCACTGCGATTGCTACTAGTGCTCAACTGAATCATGGCACTATGTCACACACTAGAATGAATAGGATGCAAAAGTCTTTTTAGGGATCAGACCGATTAGCCATTTGTCAGTGGATAATTCTCCAGCACTAACTATATTGACTGAAAAATTCATCGCTCAACGGCTAGTCAGACGGCTAACCATTGTCCTTGTCATCTGTTTTTCTATTTTCACATCACGCGCATGGAAATTTTCATAAATGCTTTACTAAGTCACTCATAGACGGACGATATACAGTAGACTACTTGAAAAGTTTGAACCTTCGTCTGTGTCTTCCAGCGATAATCCGATTCTTTTGTCTCCTGTCAACGAAATGATACCTTGTCGAATATTTTCATTGGGGAATATCCATTCGTGTTAGCTCAAACTATAGGGACATCAGCGAAGGAGAACGAATGAGAGAGGAATCGAGAAAAAGTGACCTTCGTGGGACTCGAACCCACACCTTCTGCTATCCGGGCAGATGTCCTAATCCAGTTAGACTAGAAGGACCATCTTAATCTCTAGTCAGTCTAGCGTTGCGTGATTCATCACAAACGCTAACAATTCGTCAAATCCCTGTCAAAATTATCTGAAGCCTGGCAAGGTTATTCTAAGCGTACACTTTAGGATTAATCTAGCATTTAAACGCCTAGTCGTTCGTCGACCTCCCTCCGGTCGGTCACTCACGGCTAGCCGTTGACGCACATGATCAGTGTTCATAATTTTTCCATATAAAGAAGTAGCTCGTTGATACTGAGTCGATGTGTGATCCAAGTTATCAAAACCCTTCGTAACAGTGTAGTTTACAGTACATATTCTATTGCTCTGTTCAATTTGTAGCGCTGATAATGTGCAATCCCTATTCTCGAAGCTCGAAAGCACATCAATTATGTTCGCTCAAAAACCATTGGCTTTAGTTGAGACAGCGATAAATCTTATCTTTCATAGTGCTGCATGTGTTCAGAATACTGTTTGTACAGTCCACGCGTCTGTAGTTACTAAGATGGAATTCCAGCGACGGGTAAATTACTTTGCGAACTACTTCTACTAAATTCCCATGAAAACACATGATGTATGTAGCCTACAAAGCAAAGATGATACTAACCTCATATCACTTTTTCGGATTTCTTCAATTAGAAACATCATTATGTACAATGCATTAGATCTTTTCATGTAAGTTCTTGAGCTACTATCTTTGTATACATGACGTCCGTGAATAGCGTTCAGCTCACCATCTTCTACAAAAGATTTTAGAACCGATAAAAAAAAATATCTCCTTTGTAAACAGGCAGGAACAAGCCCAGGTTCAGCGAATAAAACGAAATTCGCCCTCAAATTCGAATTTCCCGACGTCAGAAATCCTTCGGTCTACTTTAACAATGGATGTTAATAAGTCGTGGCTAGTTAATGAAAAATTAATAATTAATTAAGCAAGACTAACCTAGGATTCGAGATCCTCGACCCCGATTACCCTTAGGTCGACTCTTACTTGACAACGAAGAAAATTTTCATTACTTAATTAGCTAATTAGAATTTCGAGAAACTAACCTCGGATTCGATATCCTCGACCCTGATTATCCTTCGGTCAACCCTTACCCTGTATATTAATAATCTATGTCTAGATGACAGATAGTTAATTAATAGTTAATTATTAGTTAAAACTAACCTCAGATTCAAGTTCCCCGACCTCGATTACCCTATCGGTAATCATTTTCTAGCAACTATCGATCAATTTCATTGATTTTAGAAATGCTGATTTCTGATTGGATAGGACAGACGGACAGACAGACAAACTTTAAGCTTTTTAACACAGCATTTAAACGCTGTATAACCCTTTCTTTCAGAAAAGGGAATTATAAGAACAAGTTTCTGATGCTTCACCACATTTAAATAAATGTTTAGTTCTACAACTGAATTCCTTTTGTATTGATCCTCTTGAAATAGTTTCTACAGATGGGTTAATGATTCTCTTATGTAATCAAATTGTTAATATGCAACATGCTTTGGATATTTATCTGACATAGATTTTAAGATTGCTTTCATCTACTCTTTCATGGAAACTACTCAAACCAATTGGAGTCAATATAAAAATGCTTTATCAACCTTGAAAAACTCTTTAACTATTTATCTCATTCGATCAGAGCCAAATTGTACAGAAATCGTTGAAACATGTAAATTAATGACATTTGTGTTACAATTGGATCACAAAGATATTCAGAGATTCCAATTCAATCGCTTAATTCAAATGATTTCGATCTCGTCAAAACGTATGTATCTGTTGGTGACGCACAAATCAATCAAAATAACTTTTCTGATTCCTTAACTGTGTTGTTAATTGTTACTAATTTTGCTTGGTTTTGAATTATCGTTTTTTAATTAATTTGTTCAAAAGAATAATATTTGTTAAAGACGACTTGTTCGAAAGATTCATCTCGACTCATTTGATAATTCTGTTCTTCCTCGAAAGTTCTTTTGTCGATAGAGTACCATTATGATACGCAACATGATCATTTTTATCAATATGAGTTCACACGATTAATATACATATATGACAAATACAGACGTAGATGATCATTGTTCTTATCTCGAATATTCTATTCATTTGATCAAACTCAGGAAAATAACTCGACAAAAATGAACTTCGCTCTGATGATGATGATAACAACATGGTATATTATATCACTTCCATTCGAAATTTGTTTGAGTCACCATTCAACTAATTTAAATGGTATTCTGTCGAGAATAATTTGCATCCATTGTGGTAAATTACGAATAACATAGGTCCATAGATGTGGAATCTCTCTTATTATCTATTCGCCTATGTTTATTCATTCAATTTACAAATAAATTAGTAAAAATACATTTGATACATTTCTTCTTGTTTTCTCTATAATAAACAAAATCTTTATCAATGATTATGAAAAAAATGCAAAAAAACAATTTTTTTCCCGTTAAGTTATATGTATAGGAAGAACTAAATATTTCTTCTTCCTTCACAAAAGATAAACAGACGAATTATATTTAAACAAATCTTTCTCAAAGAAGAAATCAGATTTTTCGACGATCATGTCATCAAAATCATTTGTCAATACTTTCTTATGTTTAATAATTCTATTTTTTCTCTTCGATCTGGTAAGTGGAAAGAATTCAACTAAATATAAATATTTTATTAAATATTCATAGATATTATCAGCAAAAAAACCAGATAAAAAATGTACATTACCTAAGGGTCGATCATGCACAGCTTTAACACCAGAAGAAATGAGAGATAAAGATTTAGGATCATATTTTAAATATCCATGTGCTGGAATTGGATGTAATTTTTATCGACCATATTGTCGTCTTTGTACAAAAGATCCTAACAAAGTTAATAAACCGTATGTTGAATGTCCAAAATGTGTAGCAGAAGTTGAAGAAACATTCAAAGCAACAGATGATGAATATGAATGTTATATGCCTCGTGATCGATCATGTACATCTTTAGTTCCATCAATGACAAAAGCACTTGGTTTAGGAATGTATTATGAATATCCTTGTTATGGAAATGGATGTTCTTATATGCAACCTTATTGTAGACTTTGTGTAAGAGATCCTTTGAAAAACATAGCTCCATATCCAAAATGTCCAAGTTGTGTTCCTTAAACGATTTTCCTTCTATTTATTTGCAAAGAACAATAAAAGTTTAATGATGTGTGAAATTGAACCTTGCAACTTTTATTTGTAAGATGAGATATGAGAGATTTTTTTTTCATAGTTCTTTATTAATAATTTCCATTCCATCGTCCGTTGGCAGCACAACAATCCTTGTCACACAATCGGTACCATGAACCATGATCCATCTGATGAGCTTGATTCGTACGAATGAGAAGTTCTTGTTCGGCAGTGTACATATAACAATTCATGTCTTCATGATCTTGAAATACCCAAAAGAGTGGTGCAACAAATCGCATTCGTTGTGCCAAACTATTCCAATCGTTTGCAGCTGTATGATTTAGTCCGAGTGTTGAAGAATTCAACATTTTCGACATAACCTCACGTGCTTCTGGTAGTGTTAATGTTGATAGATAAGGTGAAAAGTCTGATCCATTATGTGTACCTGAAGGTATATTCTGTTCCGCTAAGATACGATGTGAACCAACAATAATATGTACCATAAGTTTAGTTGTAATACTATTAACTAAATCAGGACATTCTGATGAGTTTTTACTTGGCCAAAATCGACACTAACTCAGTGTATAACCAGGAAGAGATGCATTGATATATGGATCAACATGAGTCTGTTCTGCTAAACCTGCATACATACTTTGAACAAGAAGAAGTTGATCACGTTCAGTGTATGATAATGATTCATCTCTTCCGAAATGTGCTTTGAAAAGTGCACGAAATGCTTTTGCTAAACTACATTCACCATCTTCACACACATACTTTTGAATAAACTCGATTAATCGTGTATCATCGGGTTTTGTTTTGCCTGAACAGAATTCAATTCCGTAACGTGAATAAGGAGCAGCAATATCATTGAAAATCACTCGATTTCCCTCCCCAAGTGCAACAGCGGTATGTTCAAGAATTTGTTGAAATAACAATTCAACTAATTTAAATGGGATTCTATCAAGAACAGTTTGCATCCACTGTGGTAAATTACGAATAACATAGGTCCATAATTCGGGAATTGATTGTTGACGAAGACTAAATCCAACAGCATGTGATGACCAAGACGCAATTGATGTCCATATACCAATGGCAGGTAAACCTCGTGTACTATCTGGAGCAGTTTCAAGCATTTTTTGAAAGGAATGGCTGATGTCTTGATACCAAAGATTAATTGCCCAATTACGAGCAACTATATCGGTCATATTTAAAATTTCGATTTGTCTCTCATATAATCGTTGAAAACATTCACATGATTCTAATGGAAGTCCTGGACAAGCACTTATTCGATTATCCCCCAAATTACCGTTTATTAACAGTGTGACTATAAGAAACGAGCCAATCAGTAAATTCATTTTATCTTGTCTCAATTGAAGGAACGTGTATTTAGAGAAATAATACACATGGATTTTAAATACAGTTTTCATGTGACTTTTACCATTTGTCTCATGATAAATCTATACAAAAATAACAGATGGTAGTTTCTCAACACATTCGTTTTTCGATAAAAATGGAACTTCGGGTTGGATAAATGTAGGCCCAGTCAATAACGACCCGATCAGTCAAGAATTACCTAAAGTGCGTTATAATACTATAAAAAGTCTTTCCCGATTGGCAACCAAAACCATCGTATATGAGTTTGCCGATCTAATCAATAAAATCAATGTTAGTTTTATTTACTTATCTACTCGATTATCTACAGAACACGAGTCAAATCAATTGAATATAAAATGAAAGAGAAAAATATCTTCTGTTAGAAAACAAATTTCATGAGTTGATTCTTTTCAAAATAAAATTTAACTGTTCTCTTTTAAAATCGCGGAATTTGTCCAATAATTTACATAGAGTTGAATGAGATGTGAATCGATTTGTGGACAATTTTTTAAAGTTTGTGAATGTTCAACAGTTTTCTCTGTTTGAAACGTAGTTGATGGTTTTGAATTATCTTTCTTTCGATAGATTTGTTCTAAGAACGATGATAATTTAATCAATGGATTAGTTTGATCCGTTGTAGTTAAAATTGCATCAAGAAATTCATCTTTTGAAACAATATCAAATCGAAGTCCACTTTCACGAAGTAAATCTAAATAACTTTGATATTCAACACAATTTGGATTCACAAGATGATAAACATGTTGATCTTCCGATGATTTCAATGCTAATTCCACTAATGTTTGACTACAAATATCGACTGGTATCCAATTAATATCATTTCCAACATTTGGCATTTTATGTAATTGTCCTGCACCTGCATAAATCATCATTGCAGCCATTTCTGTCGAATTCCATATTCCATTCAGTGTATCTCCACTAATTTGACCAACACGATAAATCTTTGTTTGAATATTTGAAATTTGTTTCGCTTTCCAACATAAATGTTCACTGATGAATTTACTTTGTCCATAACCTTGTGGTAATGCAATTTGTATGTGTTCAGGCAATGGTTTCTCTTTAATAATTTGTAAAAGACCTGATGAAGCTGATGAAATACTTGAAATGAAATGAAATTGACATTGATTGAATGAAGATAATTTCAAAAGGTGGTAAACACCCAGAATTGAATCAAATTCAAAATCTTTCACTGTTTGATTGAAATTCATTTTCCATGCAGAATGAATTATATCAGTTAATTCGTCTTTTAACTCTTCATAAATTTCATTTGATAGTCCAAGGTATTCTTCAGACAAATTCATTGATGAAGATAAAATAACTAAACGTTGATCGTTTAAAAGGGATAAATCCAATTTTCTTTGTTGAAATGATTCAAATAAACGTTGTTGAGGATTTGATCCACGTAAAAGACAATAAATACGTTTAATTGTTGTTGATGATTGTGAAAGTAAATCACGAAGAATGAAACATCCCAATGAACCATTTGCACCTGTAAGAAGAAAAGTTCGTTCCGTTTTTTGATTTTCCTTTTTTGATAACGATGGAAAATTGGTTTCAATTAAAGTTCGATATTTGTCGAGAATTTCTTCAGCTGATTGATAATGAAATGAACTGATATCGTTATTCTCATTTTCGTTCGAACCGGATTGAATAAATTCAAATAGCTTTTCTGACATTTGATCTATTGAAGAATTCTCATAGAGAAAATTTTTTGGTATTTGACAAATATCTTCACAAATAAGATTTCGTAATTCAACAATTTGTAATGAATTGACACCAAAATCAAAAACGGATTTCGATACATCTATTGTCTGGTCAAGAATTCGTTGGAATTTTTCTTTAAGATAGTTTTCAATTGATTCTTTTGTCCAATTAGATCGTTGAATGACTTTCTCTTGTTGTTGTTCCTTATATTGTTCATTGAGAAATTCATCATAGATTTGTGAAATCAAATTTGAATATAATTGATTGATTTTTTGTCGTTGAAGATTTCCTTTATGAGTTACAGGTAAACTTTGATCATTTGAAAGAATATGAATAAGTTGTTTGACAAGACGTGAATGTGATGGAGCATCTTTATTCGCTTGTTCAACATATTTCCAAATTTCATCCAGAATTTTCTTTTCATTCAAATCTTTTGTTTTATCTTTATCTAATTCGATCAAAGCTGCTGTGCAGAATTGATTATGACCAACAAGAACAACTTGTTTAACTAGAGGACAACTTTGTATTGAATGTTCAATTGGAATTGGATTTGTTTTTTCACCGGTGATATGAACTAACGTATCATCTTGTCGTCCTAATATTCGATAGAAACCAGAATTTGGTGGATCTTCTAAGAGAATATCACCAACAATATATGAACCATCGGGTTGATTTGAAATATTTTGAGCTAAGAACGGATCTGTTGGAAGATGAATAATGATTTTTTCATTGGGATCCTGTGAATCAGCAGGTGTTTCGATACGAACATAAGGTTTTCGACTCAATGGTAATTGCATAAATTTCCATCGTTTATCATACGGGTGAAAATTATTCACAAGAACAAGACCAGTTTCTACAAAAAATACGAAATCAATTGGCATTGTTATGATCATTTCAAAGACAATTACCTGTTGAACCATAAACACTTAATAGAACGACATTATTCTCGACTAACGTTTTACATAAATGATCGGGACAACCAGCTCCACCATACATAACAAATTTCAGCTTTTGTAAAGGTTTTAATCCAATATGTTGATTTTTTTCCGAAAGTAATTCACGAATTAATTGTTCGAGTAAACTTGGTACAGTGACAAGTACCGTTATACCATTTTGAGCTTGAATATTATTTACTAATTCATCGGGTTTTAGAGGAAATGTCACACATAATGGTAATGCATAAGTACAACCGGCTAGAATTGCACGAACAGTTCCATTAAATGCCAATAAATGAAATCTGTGCAAAGAGAATGAAGAATTTGTTTGAAAAGGAACAAAACAAGAGACTTACAAAGCACCCCAAGTCAAAGCAACATCATCTTCTTTCCAAAAATCTTTATTCAATGTTTGATAAGACGAATAGGAGATTAGAAAATATCGATTTGATAGATAAATTGGTCTTGGATGAGATGTACTTCCAGAACTAAAACAAAGAAAAGATCAGTTTATTGTTATTTGATGAAGAATGGTTGACCTATGAAGAATAACAACGATTCTACTTAATTCTTCATTACTTTTAACGATCTTTGTTGAAAATGATGATTGAATATCTTTATTTTTCAATAAATTTTCCACAAGAAATTCTTCTTGATCTAAAAGAATGATTTTCACTGATTGAAGTTGTTGATTATTTTCTTGAATTGTTTTTATCATTGGTAAATAAAATGTTGTTGTTAATAAAAGATACGTTTTCGTTTCTTTCAAAAGATGTTCAATCGCTGCTGGTGAATTTCTTGCAGATAAAGGAAACATAATCACATGAGGAAGTTTCAATAATGCATATTGACTTAATAAATATTCCAATCCACCAATTGATAACAAAGCACAAGTGATCGACTCATTCGAAGATATTTTTGGTAAATATTCAGAAATCTTTTCAGCTAAATGATTTGTTAAATTGTTAAACTGTTTATATGTTAATGAAGCATATTCAGTCGAATTTTTAGTTGAATCAGGATAAAGAATCGCTTGATTGGTTGCTTTTACTTGAGATTGATATTCAAGTGCACCAATTATTGACGAAAATGGAAGATTTTCCAAAAAGTCCATTCGTTCAATCCAAAATATGTTTGAATTTGTCAAAACAACGAAAGAAATACTTGATATTATCTTGTCTATATATATATTTGTATCTTTCTTTTCTTATCTTTTCATCTCACATCGTTTTCATATCTCGACGAAGAGAAGAAAAAAACAAACGTTCGAACAATTCGTTTACAAAAACGATCGTCATTGACCTATGAAAATCCTTTGATTTAAAAGAGGACAAAATCTCGAGAAAAAATGTCCGAATTGTAAATTGTTTTGATTTTGATGAATAAACATATGAATGGATCTCGTTCAATCAACACAAAAACGAATTTGTTGTTTTTTGTCTTCTAGTGACATCCTTTCTTTCTCTTTCAAAAGTTCCTCACGGGAAAATCGAGTGAAATAAAATGACCTATTTATCTTTTTTAGAAAAGATAAAAAATTCTGATAAGAAAATGTTATTTAAAAAGAAGATCAAATTTTCGTTTTTCTTCAATTGAAAAAAATGAAGAATCAAAAAGGATTTTTAGTTCATTTTTGTCTTTTCTTGTTCATAATTATCAATTCAAGTGAATCGACACCATTAGATGATTATGTTCATGCAGAAGATCCTCATTTTGGTTGGACTCTACTTCAAACTTACGAAGAAATTGATTATAAATTATATATTCTCAATTTTACTTCCCAAAAATGGCTCGATGGTTAAAAATTTCAATCTTTTTCAAATACACAAATATTTTCTTGTTTGTTTTCTTTTGTTCAAAGAAACTTATTCATCTCGATCGATTTGGTGGCATTATTTATGTATAACTGTACCAAAGAAATTAACTCGACCTGACAAAGCATTTTTGCTCATTGATCAAGGAAGTAACAATGATCGGTAAAATATTCTCTTCATAGATTTTCTTTTCATTACTCTCTTTACAAAGTATTCCTCAACCACAAGATGATTTTGTTGCATTAACAGCAATGGTTGCAGTTGGAATTGGAAGTGTCACAGCTGATCTTCAAGATATTCCAAATGGACCAATTCGTTTTATGGTTTGTATTTTATTTCATTTAAAAAAAAAGAATTTCTTTTCTCAAATTAAAGAATGATCCAACGAATCGAACACGTGGTGATGATGCATCAATTGCATGGACATGGAGAAGTTTCATTGAAAATACCTCGAATGTTTATGTACCTCTAAATTTACCAATGACAAAAGTATAAAAAGAAGGGAATAATCAAGTTTTCTCTTTTGTTTCTAAATGAGATGTTTTAGGCATCATATCGTGCAATGGACGCTGTTCAACAATTTACTGAAAAATATAATATTACAACACCGAAGAAATTTGTTGTCGCTGGTGCTTCGAAACGTGGATGGGCAAGTGAGTGATTTCTTGTTGAATTTCGAAAGAATTCTCTCAAAATTCTTCAGCATGGTTAACAGCTGCTGTTGATACTGAACGAGTCGTTGCTGCTATTCCAATTGTTATGGATATCTTAAGTTTTCGAACAGTAAAACTTAATTTTCTTTTTCATTGAATTATTTCGAATTTCTTTTTCAATTAGAATTTACATCATATGTATCGAGTTAGTTAAAAAGAATTTTATTGAATAACTTCTGTATAACTTTGTATTTTAGTCATTAGTAGGTTGGACATTTGCATTTAAAGATTATTATAAATTGAATATAACTCAATATATTGATAATGATAATTTAACAAAACTATCGTCAATTATTGATCCATTAAGTAACAAGATTTAATCAAAAGAAAAAAGATTTGAAGAAAATTTTCTTTTCAAAGATTACATTGATCGATTCTCTAAAACAAAAATTTTACAAATTCAAGCAACTGGTGATGAATTCTTTCTACTTGATAATGAAGTAAATAACTTGAAATTTTCATTCTATTTAATCATTTTTATGATTATAAGGCTGTTTTTTGGAATGATCTTCAAATTGCCACAGGTGGATCATTTCTTCGGTAAACAAGATTCGAATTTTCATTTGATAAAAAGAAATTTTCTTCTTTTTTTTTGTGATAAAAGACGAATGCCAAATGCAGATCATGTTTGTGTTGGTCATATTATAAGTTTATTTTTTACAATGCGAAGTTTTTATATGAGTGTTTATGATGAAAAACCATTACCTAAACTTCAATGGATTAAATCAACAAATAATACTCATGGTTACATTCGTGCAACAATAGATTTCAGTTCAGGACCTAAACCAATCAATGCAATTGGATATTATGCTCGTACTCTCGATAATAAAAGACGAGATTTTCGTCTTTTAATTGGAAATCCAAATGATCCAAATAAAGCAATGGCCAATCCAGTCTTTTGGTTTACAACAAATGTTATTACTGAAGTAAAAATCTAATAAATGAAATCTTCTTTGTTTCCTAAATGATATCCTTTTTTCAGGAAGAAACTAGTACAAAAATTGTTTATTCATTAACGATTGAAAATCCAATGAATGGTTGGGAAGGTTTTCTTATTCAAGTTAATTTTCCAGGTCCAGATGGAACTGTTTTAGAATTAACGACAGAAACATTAATTATTCCCGATACTTATCCAACTGATGATTGTCATGGTGAACAATGTTTAGGTTCACTAGTTTAGCTTTTATTCAATGTCTTTCTACAAGAAATGAAATCATAAGAGAAAAAAAACATTGCTACTTGATTTTCTCTGATAAAAAAAAGTGTCCACTAAGCAAAGAAATGAGCTTCTCGCCGTTGTTTAACAGTCTTACCATTGCATTTAAATTGGCGTAAATTGAGATGGAAAACTACTATCGAGGAAATTCTTTTAAATCCGTTATGCTTTTCATTGAAAGATAAATTCAAGGAATAAATCTGTATTTTATTATTTGAATTGATAAAAAAAATATCACTCAGAAAGTTTTAAAAAATCCTCACTAATATTAATGTACAATATAGAAGAGAAAGAAGGTTAACTCTTGAATAACGTACATTAGAAAGTGTGAAACATATTCTATGTAAACATTTTCTCGGGAAAAATAGATTGAATTCTTCTGTACTTAATCTTATCTAAGGAGAATTGAATTAGGAAAAAGAAAGTTCATCTCGTTCGAATGATGATAAAGTTATTGATGATATTGAATGAAATTACAGAAGAGTTGATTTGTGAACTGAGTGTGAACCGGATGAACATTGACTTGCTTTTACTTGTGAACTTCTTTCAGCTCTTTTAACTTGACTTGATTTGACTTTAATTGCACCAAAACATGTTGGAATTTGATAAGATAATTTGTTTTCAAGACATTTCGAATCGGCTGAATTCACTTGATATTTTGATCCATTTGCATGATGTGAATGAGATTTGAGTAATTTTTGAATTGGATACGTTTCAATTGTATCAACGCAGACAAGTGGGTTAGCTGTGCCTGTGATAATTGCAGCTGTTGCACCTGAGATGGCTGTTGCTGCTGCTGAGGATCCAGTGACTGTTGATGAACTCATTTTGTTTGAAATATTGAGATATAAAATAGAAGATTTGTTTGATTGATTGGTGAAAGTGCAATGAATATCGTCTGGTATTTATATGAAGACAGAAAAGGGAAAAAAAATAAAAACTCAATGGTAAAAGTATGACATTATCCAATATTCTGATATCAGATGAGAAAAACACATCACGTATTGCCCCTTTACTACGTTTGATTTCACGGAGTAAATTATATTCTGTTAGACTCCCCAACCGTGAAATTAAACGTACAAAAACTAAACGCTTATTAGTATATGTTTTCTCTCTCCTTTTTCAATTCGTTTCAAAAACATATTCGATATTTGTGAACTTTGCCATGTTAAAAATAATGCGTCATTTTCACAGAAATTAATTGAAAAGAGAATAACATGAATCGATATAATCGTCAACCACATGATGTAATATCAGAAAACAAACTACTTGTTTTTTTATGCCAAATATTCCTTTTTACCCTCAAGTGCAATAAATGACTAATATTACCCAAACTCGCAAAACGACATAACATCAAAATAATTATGAAATGAAAACACATCAGAAGCGTTATTTTGAAAGCATCAATAATATGACCAACGTATTTATATGTTTAAATTCAATTTTTGAACAAAGATTTTCAATTTGGCTTCCCACTTCACCTCTTTCTGTCGTCAAACAAGTAGTTCTGAAGAAAAAGTAAAGAGATTTTTGGTCAAGATCAAAGACGATAAAAAGATTTTAAAAAAACTCATTATAAAGATCATAAATTCTAATCAGAAAGAAAGAACGATAATGATTTCTTTAAGGGTACCTGTAATTTATGCAACCAGCACAGCCACTCAACTTTCTGAAATATTATGACGACCTTTCCCACAACTACCCACAGCTTGATGAGTTATGTTCAGATTCGGCCACACTCACCCGCTTTATAAGAGATTTAACGAAAATAAATGTTCAACAAACAGCAAAAAATGACCTCTTCAACATAACCATCTGAAATCTCTCTTAAAGTCTTCACAAGCATCGTTGTAGGTGCCCGCAACCACCCACAGAATTACATAATCTACATTTTTTGAATGACAAAGCGAGGTGCTTAGGGTAAGTTTTTCCATAAGACATCTTTCTCGAAACGTACGAAGTGGATCCAGATAGCTGTCTTCACAAACGTCATTGTGAGTACCCACAGAACTGTCTGATCTATTAATCTGTCTATAATTGAATGAATTTTACAAAGACACTAATCTAAGAAAAATCTTAGTTGATAATTGAAAAACTCACAAACTTTCTATATTTATGAGAAGGAGGAACATCAATATTTTTACAATAATTCAAGAGTGGAAAGAGATAGAGATGTGCAGTTTTCACCATTACACTCGGAGTAACGTTTCCCGGTAAGCCATATAAACTTTATCTGATTCTACAATTAATCCAGTTGATCGTTCATTAGCATCATAAGGAGAAATAAAATTTCTGAGAATAGTCTTGCAAGGATTATACATTACCCAGGACGAACGTTCCGGCCTCCGGATCCACCAGGAAAGCAGCCCTTTTCCGGCTCATTCCGACCCGTTCTGGCCATATCCCACAGATTCCCAACGAAAAGCCGTAGGAATGTTGATGCAGTGTTCCAGACCGGAATGCCCCGGAATCAAATTTCCGCCATAAAAAACAACATCACGCGCCACAGTCTTCCAAAACCACTAATCCCAAATACCATAGGCGATTTACAACTCCACGCATAAGTCACTTCTGAATGCGGAGAACAAATGTCACCATCACAATTCACGTTTCAACTCAAAGTCTTTCCGATGGATTGCCAATCCGATGTGCAATCCGTTGTACAATTCACTGGTAATCGTGGGATCGGAGTGTAGTTTGATGACCAGGAGCGTTTGTTTTCTGCTATTGGGGCTAGGATTGTTTGAAATGCTGTGAAGGCTGTTTGTAGTACGTCTGTTTGCTCTTAGCAGAATGGATATGGGCAGCATTGTGTTGTGGGTTTTCGGTAGTATGCGAAGATGCGTTTTAATGGAAGTCGATAGGTGTATTGTATGATTTTGTCGGATTGTTTCGGTTTTGGTAGGTTCCGAACCGGATTTTTCGACATGGGTTTGTATCTAGTTATTGAACATCATTAAGTGTCCTATTTTGGTCTACATTAACCGAACATCTTTATCGCATTCCCGTTATAAAATATCTATCTCTCCAAAGGCCTTATTTTGAGTGAATGGGAATAGGAGTAGTCCATTATAAAAACTGCTTGTATTAGTCAATCTAGAAACAGGAACCAAGTCTCACTCGTTTATGTCAAAGCTGGCATCGGGAAACATGATGTCACAGTTTGACTCTAAATAAAAACTCACGTTTTTTCTGGAGTGAGCCCAATATGTTATTCCTGTCAAAACATGCTTCTTGGGTCTCACTGTTTCTTCTTTCGTTAATGGATGTTTAGTACATAGTTACGCGCAACATTACTCCGAGTGTAATGGTGAAAACTGCACATCTCTATCTCTTTCCACTCTTGAATTATTGTAAAAATATTGATGTTCCTCCTTCTCATAAATATAGAAAGTTTGTGAGTTTTTCAATTATCAACTAAGATTTTTCTTAGATTAGTGTCTTTGTAAAATTCATTCAATTATAGACAGATTAATAGATCAGACAGTTCTGTGGGTACTCACAATGACGTTTGTGAAGACAGCTATCTGGATCCACTTCGTACGTTTCCAGAAAGATGTCTTATGGAAAACCTTACCCTAAGCACCTCGCTTTGTCATTCAAAAATGTAGATTATGTAATTCTGTGGGTGGTTGCGGGCACCTACAACGATGCTTGTGAAGACTTTAAGAGAGATTTCAGATGGTTATGTTGAAGAGGTCATTTTTTGCTGTTTGTTGAACATTTATTTTCGTTAAATCTCTTATAAAGCGGGTGAGTGTGGCCGAATCTGAACATAACTCATCAAGCTGTGGGTAGTTGTGGGAAAGGTCGTCATAATATTTCAGAAAGTTGAGTGGCTGTGCTGGTTGCATAAATTACAGGTACACTTTGACAAAAGCAAATGGAGATAGAAATAGAAACTTGATAAGCACGATTTTCGAAATATCAACTGTGAACGAACGCAAATATATAATAGTTTGATTGCTCCGTTGAGTTTTCGAGAAGATTTCGTCTATCCTACCTTCGAGACATCATAATCTATTTAATTTAGGCGGATCTCATCGAACATGTTAAAAACTTGGCTTCATGTGCTTAGAAATCGATGATATGTTGTTTTACATGATTTAACTAGTTGTGCTGTCTGATGTCAAGTGAGCTTGAAGTTATTCTGAACCCTTACAACATGTTCTTTGGGACTTTTCTCCTGCGTTCATTGTGTGAGTAATACATTGAAAATCAAAAAGATTTTATACAAAACTATTTTTGGAAAGAAGTCGAAAACTTTTTGAAGATTTCATCTTTTTTCTATCAAATCCTTAAAAGATTTGTAATTGCTTGTAAACTGCGAAAATTCTTTTTTTGTTTTCAGTGTAGAGTTACTTTACTAGTAAAACATCTGCCTTCTTTTTTACTGTGTCACTTCTTTCTGATAGTGCCCTAACTTTTGAATATTAAATGAATTTTTTTCCTGTTTGTGTATCGAATTCTAAGGACATATTCTATGAAAGAAGAACTAAACGGACATAGCGGTCAAATAATACAAACTTATTTAGTTTTATAAGCTTCTTCAGTTGATGCAAGATGAAAATCAGACTTGTACCTAAATATATTACTACAGCACCAGTGAGTTCAATCGATGAAAACTCAGATTTATATTTCTGATGTGAAATTGAAACGAAGTAGAGATGCGTCTAAAATGTGTTTTTATGATACATAAAACTGACTTTAGAATATATTTTCTATCCAACTCCAAAGAATCTGACAGATTTTATACCGTCATGTACAATATTTCCACATATTATATTATTTCATTAACACTTGGAATTTATTATTAAACTAATAACAAAATATCGAAGATAATAAGAATATTTGTTTTTCGTATAAAAGTTTTTAGTTCAAAAAATAGAGTTTCTTAATTCTTAACGTGGAACCAAAGTTCCTGAGCTTAGTTATTTTGATCCTGAAAAGAATATTCAAATCAGCCATAAGTAATATAAGAAGAAATCCGAAGAGCAATTTAAACGAATTCTCATTTGTAGATGATGTCGAGTGACTTAGTATATGCAGGTCAACAATTAACAATTTATTTCGGCTCATTTCTTATTATAATGGGTGTAATTGGAAATGGAATTAATATTTTGGTTTTTTCAACTGTTCGTAATTATCGCCAGACACCTTGTACATTTTATTTTCTTATCGGATCAATATTTAATTCAATATTTATCTTAGTAAACCTCACAACACGTGTTGCGGCTGGAGGTTTTGGTATTGATTTAACACGTACATCACTTATCTGGTGTAAAATTCGATCATTCAGTTTGATGACTGTGGGTTTAATTACTTTTACTTGTTCTTGTCTTGCAACAATTGATCAATTTTTAATTACATCAAAACATGCCTCTCTTCGTCGTTTAAGTCATATTACATTTACGCATCGAATTGCAATGATTATAATTTTGTTTTGGTGTATTCATGGAATTCCAGCATTACTATTTAACAATATATCATCAATAACTAATTCATGCGTAGTCACCAATGCTACATTTGCAGTCTACTTTGCCATATATCAAATAGGTCTTAATTGTATCATTCCTATTTCAGTTATGTCCATTTTCGGCTATCTTGCATATCATAATATTCATACGACAATAGGTCTTGCTGAACAACAAGCAGATCGTCAATTATTGAAAATGGTTTTACTTCAATCAGTACTGATTAGTCCTTATCTTCCATTTGGAATTAATTATACTTACAGTTTGATGACCGCTGGAATAAAAAAAGATGCAGACCGATTATATAAAGAAGGTTTTGCTGTAACTATCTTCAATTTGACAAATTATCTTTTCTTTACTGTATGTTTATTTAAGACTCAAAAAGTTATATTTATTATATTCTTTTTTCTATCATTTAGGGAAGTTGTTACATATTTTTGATTTCCTCAAGTCGATTCCGACGAGCTGCCAAAAATCGATTATTCTTCTGGCAAAATAAAAATCAAATAGCGCCATTAACGCACAATACACTTACACAGCTCAGACAGTAAACGAGACTATTATTTTCGGTCAAGACTTTGTCGCTCTTCTTCATACATCGAAATGAAGTCTAAATGTTGTCAACTTGTGTTAGAAAGAAAATAAATTGAATGACGTTTAGAGAAAAGTATCAATGTCGAATTTGAAAACTATAGACATGAAAAACGTCTAAAGGTCAACCAGCATGGTGAAAGCGGGAGTTGCGATCAAAACAAATTCAACATCATCAATTTGTAGTGTATACTTTCTTCTAGTGGAAACTGCTTTACATTTTGTCTTTTGATGTTTTCTTGTCGTGTATACGTGCATTGCAGCACGATAGTATTTAATAATCGACTTTATATGTCTATTAATGATACACAAAACGAAATGGCGTAATAAAAAGGAAACATATTGATGGTCACTTATTCTACACCATTTCGAAATACTGAGATCTATAAGCTTTCTTTTTTTCAATTCCAAATTTCTTCAAATCATTGTCTATGTGTTACCAAAAATTCCATACAGTTTAGTTGTCGACCAAACTACATCTGATAGCTTCGAGACTTTAATTTATCTTAGACGTACTTTTTAAATAAGCAAATTCTGCATCGAATTGTGACACTTTTATTCACCGGACAAACTTTGGAAATTCTATCTATATATGTGTTCGTTTCCTTTAGGTCTATTTATAATTCGGATAGAATTTTTCCAAAGTTTGTCCGGCGAATAAAAGTGGCGCCATTCGATGCAGAATTAAATTCTGAGTCGAATAGTGTAGTTTTCATGGACGGGACATATTTAGTAAAAAAGTTTTTAGCTAACACATCGTTTGTTCGTGCTAGCTTCACACTGATTCGAAAAGAATATGAAGAATCAGGAACTTCTATTTTATTTCGTAAATGTTTTTAAACATCTTTTTTAGTTTTAATAAAAATATAAAATTCAGAAGTTCCTTGCGGACAAGCAAACAAGACAAGACATTGATCAAGGTAAATTGGTACAATTTCCTTGATTGTCACGAATCAAAACCAAAAGAAAAATTTAATTTGTCAACATATTTAGGCATTCGCGACTACGTAAACATTTCAATTCCTTGGCTTTAATAAATCTTAACTGAATCTAAAAAATACATGAAAATCAATAAAGAATCTCTTCAACTCTTTTATTTCACGTACCTGATTACCTACTTCAGCACACATATAAGAAAGATCATGAGCACCTGCGTCTCCTTTGACTCTCAGCCAATAAATTCGATAGAAGTTTTCTAGTTTTCTTGTTCGGATTGTCGACTTCTTGCGTTGATAGTTTAATCTAGACCTTTTGTCGATGGAATCGGAAACAAAAAAGAAAGAGTTTTTTTCGATAAGATGTAAGAGAAACTAATTTTCAGTAAATAAATAAGAAATTATTTAATCGGTCTCTACTAAATATATTGTTTAATAATCTATATATTATTGGAATGTCAGTTATTTCAAAATAGATGTCGCTTTATTTTTAACTTCGATCAGATAAAATTTAGTAACTAAATAAATGAGAATAAAGAATGTAATATATATGAAAAATTTTCAAATTTTCTTCTTATAAATTAGAAAAGTCTTATAGAGGTTTGATCAGTACAATGTTATGTGATAGGAATCGATATATGGCAACACCGTAGACGAGAAGATGATGACTTGAAAAGAAATCAATAGAAATTTGAAAAGGGAAGAGAATTGATGGCCACAGTAATTGAAAAGACTCGTAATTCTGATGAAAAAATACCACGTTCATCAAGTGTTGATTCAGCTATAGATGATGGAGAAGATTCACCAGATGAAATATTTGAATGCGATGAAGAAAGTTTAGATGAACTTCATGAGGATAATCAAACAAATGGACCATGTAAAGCACTTACTCCGCGTTTAATTCGTTATGGATCAAAACGTATACCAATTATTCAATTTTCCCCCAAAGTTGTCTATGGTCGATGTCCAGAAGCACGAAAAATTGGAGAAAAACATGCATTAACATTTAAATTTCTTAAAAATGATACAAAATTAATTCGAAATATTCTTGAAGGACATGGATTTCGTGAAGTTCATCCAGCCAGTTCAGAATTTAATATAATGTGGACGGGTGGTGGAATGAAACCCTTTTCACTACGAACATTGAATCCATTTCAACGTATCAATCATTTTCCTCGATCATATGAAATAACACGAAAAGATCGTTTATATAAAAATGTTCAAAAAATGCAACAAGAAAAAGGAGTTAAAAATTTCAATTTTATTCCAACAACTTTTCTTCTGCCTTATGAATTTGAAGATTTTTCTGGTAGAAAAAATTTTTATTTATCGTTCTCTTTCATAAACTTTTGCTTTGTTTTAGCGACATTTCAACGTGAGAAAGGAATTTGGATTATAAAACCAGTTGCTTCATCACAAGGAAAAGGAATATTCTTAATTAATCACGTAAATTTCTCATTATTCGCAGAAAGAATCATCTTTTCTCTCATTTTTCTTAGCCTGATCAAGTTCCATTGGATGAAAATCTTGTTATCAGTCGATATATTGACAATCCTCTTCTCATTGATGGTGATTGATTTCCGAGAGAAAAATGTTTCTATTTTATTGAAAATCTTTTTGTAGGATATAAATTTGATGTTCGAATATACGTTGCTGTCACTTCATACGACCCACTTGTTGTTTATCTTTATGAAGAAGGTTTAACCAGGTAAGACAATTCAATTAGAACCGTTTTAAATGAATGATTTCTTTAAAAAAAATCGAAGATTTGCAACAGTGAAATACGATTCGAACAGCCGAAGTATCAAAAATGCTTTTATGCATTTAACAAACTACAGTGTAAACAAACGAAGTCATCGATATGTTAGGTAGAAAAGTTGAATTGTATGGAAAAGTAAATGAAATCATTTCGAATAGATGTGATGATCCGGATATCGAAGATTTTGGAAATAAATGGTCAATGTCTGCAATGTTACGTTTATTAAAAGCTGAAGGTAAAGATACATTTAGTTTAATGATGGCGATTGAAGATGTGGTTATTAAAACATTACTCACTGTTGAATCACAAATTTCTGCTGCTTGTCGAATGTTTCTTTCAACAAGAGGAAATTGTTTTGGTAAACAAAAATAAACCAAAATAAATATTGTTTTCTAGAAAATCACTTTTTATCTTTTTCAGAAGTTTACGGTTTTGATATTTTAATTGATGAAGATCTTCGACCATGGGTATTAGAAGTGAATTTATCTCCATCGTTAGCTTGGTTTGTATAGCTGAATGAAATTTTCTCGAAAAAGAAAAGTAATTCGATTATTTCTTTTGAAATAGTGATGCACCAATTGATTTAAAAATTAAAACACATATGATATGTGATTTATTCAATTTGACCTCAATGCCTTGTGTTGATCCTGCAGTTTATTCAAATAAATTAAAACAACAGAAAACAGAATCAAATCTTCAAACCGATCAATATAAACGAGTAAAATTTTTCTATTTAAGGAATCTTTTGTAAGAATTCATCAAATATTGATCGATTTCTTATAGCGTCGTCCAATATCTGCTGGTTATTCATTAACAAATATATTGCCAAATGGTCGACCTGGACGTGCAACAACTGCGAATCGTCCAAGTCGATCAGGAAATGCTAATGGAACTGAAAATGTCCGAAATGAATACTTTGGTTTATCACAAGAAGAAATTCGAATTTTACGAACAGTAAAAGAAGAATCTCGTCAACGTGGTGGTTTCGTTCGAATATTTCCTACAAGTGATACTTATGAGTTCTTTTCAAGTTTTTTTGAACAACGAACAACATCATTTAATCAAATGATTCATCAACGTCTTTATCCATCACGATGGTCATCAATCGCATTGAATTCTCAGCCAAACAATGGATCAATTCGTCGTACAACAGCTCCACGTTGTAAACTTCTCTCCTCAGCATTCAATTATGGACATTCATCAGAAAAGGATTTAACACCGAAAATATCTGGTTGCGATCTTGATGAAGCTTTAGAACGATATCGAATTTATGAAAGAAGATTAATTGACATAGCTCCTCCATCATATCCTCATTCATCAGCATCAACAATCACAACAACGAGTGTATCGGAGACAACTAAAACAAACGATAATCTATCAAAGTCTCAAATTCTGCCTGATAATTTGGATCAAAATCCATCTCGATTAACAAATCTTCATCGAACTACATCTGTTCCTCCTTCACTTCCTAAATCCAATCAAAAAACTGATTCTTCACCAAAACGTTTAACAACAGTTGGACAATTGGTTAAATCGACAACAGCTCCCACTCCGGGTGAAGGTCGTCATTCAATTTATGCGAAAAACGATATTCTTCAAATGCTCAATCAAGGTTTAACACTCAGGTATAGATTTTCTTTTTCGAAACAACTTATTTTTTCATTTTATTTTATAAAGTCCCCTCCAAGCTCGTACAGCATTTGGAACATATCTCCAACGAATACAATTTCGTTTAATGCTCGACTCAGAATTCAAAGAAGAAGTGACTTCAAGTCAACATATGGATTTAGTTATTCGATTTTTAAGACGTGCTGGACAAAATCTAACACCACCATTTCGTGTGGAAATTCCTTCACGTCGTTTATCACAATCCGATCAAAAGCGAATTTTAGCCAAAGAATTATGTGATTTCCTTCATTTATACAACAAAGAAACAGTTTCATTAAATCCAACTTCACTTTGTCCAACAGTACAAATCGACCATCGTCTCTTTGAAAATTTTCTTCGTTCAGCATCTGAAGCTGATTTAGAACAAATGATGACTGCATATATGAAAACAAATAAAGAATCGGCAATTCATTTAGGTGTGAATCCCAAAGTAACCAAATCAGATTCTGATATCGTCGGAGCTGATCAACAAGCACAAACAATTTCGACAAAGCCGACTTCTCACGAAGAGAAAACAATAACAATTATTCAAACAATGTCACCGAATGAACAACAAACATGGGCAACAACAACACAAAATCAATTAAATAAACGTTTATTAAGAGCATCAAGTGCGTCAAAACCAAAAACAAATCAGAAGAAAGAAGAACAGATTTATAAACTCTATGGCGTAACACGACCTGTTTCAGCACTCATATCTCAAAAGAGACGTACGTTTCAAATATTGTTTTCTCTTCGAAAGCTTCTTTTTCTAGAATTAACAGCGGCTATTCCAGATACAAAAGTTTATTCACGAGATCGTCCAAATTCCGCGAATGTTTCGGTCGAGCAAAAACGCGATTTTACTGAACAATTAACTGAATTATCAACAAAACAACATCGTCGTCAATATTCAGGTCGACATCACTTAAATATTTATGAAAGTCGTTCACCATCGAATGAACGTAATTCCAATGAGAATTGTTCGACAAAACAAGAAGAAGTTTTAGAAAAAAGTCGACAAATTCTCGAAGAAAGCAAAGTAAAAAACGAACAATTAGCTGAACAAGTTTGTTTCACGAAATTTCTTTCAAAATCGAATGTTGATTTTCTCTTCAAAGGCAAAAGTCTTTCAACGAACATTACAACGTCAAGAAATCTATTCGGCATTGAATCGTTTTGGACATCGTCCACCAATTTATCCAACTGTTGTTAAAGAATCTCGAATATCTTCAAGCAAATCACAACAAGTAGATTGAACATCTTCTTATTTCTTTGTCGAATTTGTTTTCTTTTTAGAATTAATCATCAAAAATTGACCATTTCTTTGTTTTCTTTCTAATTTAGTTATTTGTTTGTCTACACATGAAATTTCAATTTATTTTTCTTTTCTGTAAATAATTTTCTATTGGATATTGACGGGGAAAAAAAGGCAGAGCCATCTTTACGTCGTTTTTTCATCAAATAAATAACATAACACCATATAACCTTCTATTGCTTTTTACAACAGCTTGACATTCGCTGTTTTTTTTCGGACTGGAAGATGAAGAAAAACGTATTTATTTAATTTGATGAATAAGCGATGTTTTATCGGTGAATGATGAAGGTAAAAGATGGAGATTTGATTAGATTAGTTACTCTTTTAGATAAAAATGAGTGCGGATTCGAAAGACAAAGAAAAGATTTTCCCGTCATTTACTGAATTACGAATTTATCCATCGTTTACGGAAATTCGAGAAAAATTCAATGCACCACAAGTATTTATCGGAAAAGACTTTGTTTCCTTTGTACAAAATTTGGATTTGAATTTAGAATTTTAAAATGTATTTTCCTCGTGAAGTTTTCGATCAAATTGTCAACGGAAGTCTTTGTGTTGAAGGAATATCCGTTCAAAGTCAAAATAGTGTAACAAAAGCAAATAATTTAGAAAATCAAACTGTTTACCTTCGTCGTCCACGTGAAGATCCAATCGAATGTATTGTCATTCGTCCGAATGATTTATTATTAAAATGTGTTAAAACTGGAAGATTTATTCGAGCAAATCAATCCGAATTAGAATATGTGAATATTCCTGAAGAAGAAGGACAAGAAGTGACTTTTGCTTTGAAAGAACCTGGTGAAGCGATACTTTCATATCTCATTCACGGTAAATCTTTCTTTCGAAAAAGATTCTTATATATATTTTTTCATTTAGGAATCACTTGGACACCACGTTATAATTTAAAAGTTGATGGTGATAATCATCAATTTGATGCGTGGGCGGATATGACAAATAATACAAAACGAGATTATAAAATCAAACATACAGAATTATTTGGTGGTGATGTTCATCTTCAAGATTCTGCTGGAATATCACGTGGTTTTGGTCGTCAATGTTATGCTGCAAAAGAATGTTGTTGTTTTAGTAGTGCACCGGTTGCACCACAAATTGAAGCTCAAGGCGAATTAGCTGGAGTTTATTGGTATTCGATTGATCAACCATTTGTTCTCATTCAACAATCAACATTTTCACTTCCGTTTGTCAAACCAAAGATCAAATTAGAAAAATATTCTGGATTACAAAATCATTTTGAAGAACGAACAAATAAAGGAAAATTTCAACGAAAATATCGTATCGAATCCGATAAATTCTTACCTAAAGGAACAATAACTATTCGAGAAGAAGGACGAGTTGTTGGACAAGCACATCTGTGTGATTTATCAGCAGGTGAAAAACAAGATTTAGATTGTGGTGATGATCCTGATGTGAGTTTTATTCGAGAAGTGAAAGTTCTTTCACAAAAACGCGAATCAGCTTCATATGAAATTCATTTAACAATTAAAAATTCGAAATCGAAACCAATTAAAATTCAATACAAAGAAATCATTTCTCAAACAAAATTCACCGTTACACCAAAAGATGAAAACGAAAAGAAGATTGAATTGATTAACGAAGGTTTACAGATCATTGAAGATAATTTACAATCGAATAAAGAACAAATTTATCAATATAATATTCTCATCGAATATAAAAATCAACAAGATCAATGTCCAACTCAAAATTATTCATATAATTAATGAAACTATTCGCATTTTCGATGCAAAAATAAAACATTTCTTTCTTATTTGAGATTTTTTAAATGACAAAATAAAAATTGACTTAAGTAGATATTTGATTAGAAGAAAAAAAAAGATTTTTTTTATCTCGGATTACAATTTCTCTTTTTGTTTGATAAGAATGTCAAAATATTTATTTTTGATTTAAATGAATCGACGGGAAATATCTCGAACAAATTTTTCTCATTTATTTTCAACGTGCCGAAACATTTTCCCGCATAATTAACTGACAAATCAATGAAAAACAATATTTTTTCCTAATTCAGGTCACACAGATGTCACGTCTCCGCCTCAATCCTAAATGTACTATTTGCATTTTCTCCTCGGTTACAGCAAAGTTTGCTTTTTTTTCCCTATCATACATAGAATGGATTTTTTCTTCTGGAATTGCGAATTTCATTACGTCAATGACGAACTTTGTCAAAATATTTTTTCTTTATAACGTTAAGAGAATGAAAATCTATTTGAATACTTTCTGTTGGATAAATATTCTACTAATGAATATTCATTTTCTTTATTTCAATAGAACTAAATCGCTGAAACAATCATCTTTAGAAAAGAAAAGAATATTTTACATTTAGTGTCATTGAAAATGTAAAATTGTTCTTAAAAAACTTTCTTTGAGTAATATCGACACGTGAAGAAAGAAAGAAAAGTAATAATTTCAAGTGTCTTTCTATTTCTTTTATATATGAACTATAAACTCCAAGGTTTTTTCCTCTTAAACACACAATCCTTCGATATTTGTTGAGAAGAAAAATAAATTGATCGATTTATGAAATAAATAATTCTTTTCTCCTTAAGTTATTCGTATTTTTGATTAGATGAGAACGAAGAAAACACATGAATAAAAGTAGTTGATCTAATTCTTATTGGATAGAAGATTCCATCCAAAGAAAAAAGAAATAGAACTCGTTAGTAACCGACGTATGTTGACAACGGTCAAATATTGCTCCACTCTTTTTTTTCAAGTATTTACATAATGTATTGAGTAGATTCTGATCAAAGGAAAAGTAAAATTTACGACTCCATCCTTTTTTTTGCTCTTTTTACTCATGAAATGCGAAATGCACTTCTGTTGTCACAGTAGTGTGATAGTCGACATTTTTCTGTAGTGAAAGAAAGAAGAAACTCGTTAGTAATCAGGTAAAACGAAAAATAAGTCATTTTATTGTATTTTACAAATGTTCTCTGCGTTTTTTTTCACACCAGATTCTATCTAATTGATTGAAGACAATTTACTTTGACATGGTATGTAGAGAAACACGATACGAAAGAGAGAGAAAAAAATGTCGAACATTTTCTTTCTAATTTAGTCGACAAAACAATATTCGAATGTGAAAATGTGGAAATATTTATTGAAAACGATTGTAATTATCCTTTTTATCTTCTTATTTTGGCAAATAGTTTTAATTTTATTGGCAATCAAAGAAAGTTTCATAAAAATCAATCAAAATCCATGTAAAAGTCAAGCAATTGTAACTCGTAATCATAGTGAAATTCCTCGATTAATTCATCAAATGTGGAAAAGTGAAGATTTATCAACATTCCCCATCAACAATTCGTTTAATGAATGGAAAAAATCTTATTCGAATTATGAAATTCGTTTTTGGACGGATAGACAAATCGAGAATTTAATCTCTCAAGCCGAATACCAATATTTATATTCAACTTACCATTCTTTTACTTACTCAATTCAACGTGCGGATTTAGCTCGACTATTAGTTCTTCATGCTTATGGAGGAATTTATGCTGATTTAGATGTATTTCCTTCTCCCAAACGTATCGATGAACTTTTAAAGAACAATTATTCATTGATTATTCCACTTTCAACAACTGAAACATCGATAATAAATCATTTTATTATAGCAGAAAAATCTTCTTCAATTTTAAATTATCTTCTCCATCGAATGAAATCGAAAAGATTTTTCCAAAAGATTTATCTTCTTCCTTATTTAGAAGTGTTTTCAACAGGTTCATTTTTCTTAACAAGAGAATTAAATAATTATATTCAATCAACAGCAAATTCAAAAACTTCTTTAAAAATTTTATCAGATAATGAAGTGACAAGTTTTGTAATTCATCAACAAGGACGATCGTGGCATTTTATCGATGGATTTATACTCAATTCCATTAATGATCAACCTTTTATATCTTTTCTTATCTTTATTCTTTTCCTTCTCATTTCAATTTTCATTTACAAATCTTCTCTTCTGTTAAGTCATTTCCAAAAACTCTTTTCGAAAAAATAAATTTCTTCTTTTTTTGTATTTTTCTAATAAAAAACAATTTGTTTTCTTTTTTATCTAAGTCACTTTCAATCAACAATGGGAAACTTTGTTAAAAGATTTCTCAATATATAATTAAGAGAAAATGAGTTCAAAGGGTTTTTCAAAGAATATCATTTCAATGATTTATCAAAGAAAATTTTGTTTTCGATTTTGAATTTCTTGTCGAGAAAAAAAGTGTTTTGGAACATTTTTTCGTAAATGATCAGATTATTTACAAAAAAAGCAAAATCAAATGTTATTTTAAACTGTATTAATAAATTGAGTAAAAGACATTTGTTGTTCATTTTGTTGAATATTCATCGAATCTTTATAAATTTGATTTGAAAATGTTTTTTCTATTTGTTGTTGATGAGTTAAAAGTGAATGAACATCAATCGATAATTTCTCTTGAATATCTTTGATAATCTTTGAATTTGCATTTCTTTCTAAAATTCGTTCATTGATTGATGAAATAATTCCAACAATATTAACAAAATCATTGGAACGATACGTGAGAAAAGCATTTTGTCGAAAAACTGACAAAATCGTTTGTTTAACAAGAAAATACGATCGATAAATACAAACTAAATTGAAAATAAATAAACCTCCTTTGGAATTTAATGATTTTTGAACTAATTGAAAGAATTCTTGTGTTTTCATATGTGAAGGTAATCCAGAATTGGAATCATATGCATCAAAAAATATCAAATCATAAACAAATCCATCGGGTAAATCTTCTAAAAACTTTCTTCCATCAATCAAAGAAATTTTCATCTTGGAATCAATTTGAAAATAAAAATATTTTTGTGCAATTTTATAAACTAATGGATCAATTTCGACAATTGTTATATTGGAATTTGGTAAAAGTTTTCTTAATGCTTTTGGAAGAATTCCACCACCTAAACCGATAATTAAAATATTGATTTCTTTATGAAAATTCAATGGATAATAAATTAATGAAAGAATCATTAATTGAATATAATTAACACATGGATAATCAAGAGATTTTAAATCAATTTGAGCTTGACAACCATTGGATAAACTATGAAAACGCATAAAACGTTTCGAACGACATTCACTCACAATGATTAAGGAATTATATCGAGATCTTTCTTGGAAAAGAATTTTCTCACGATGAAATGAGAAGAAGAAATGAATTATTAAATAAAATCCAAAAGAAAATATTCGAAAACATTTTCTTATCATTTGACGAAAGATATGCATCGATGATTTCATGTTTTATGTTTCAAACAAATATATATATTTCGTTTTTCTTTCTTTCTCTATTCTTTCTTTCTTTCTTTGTTCATTCAATGATAAAAACGATGTCAAATCAATTTGAATCCATAAAAGAAAAAAGAAAAGCGAAGAAAGAAATCTGTGAATTGTTTTAATTAAAAGATTTTGCGTGTGGAAAATATTGACATGAAATCTAAGATTGAATTCGTATTTTCATTTAGAAATGAGAAATTCTCCTCAATCCCATAGGTGATCTCGGTTTCTGTTTGGTTCATTTCATTAACATGAAAACATATCTTCTCTTCTTTTTTTCTCTCTTTAATGAAAATGAATCAATATGAATTCATAGGAAACAAAAGCAAAGAAAAGCATAATCAATTCTATTTTTGTAATTTCCTCGTTTTTTGATCTTTATAATAAATATTAATCGACGACAAAATACTCTTCAACAATCTTCTATAAAGAACGAAACAGTTGGAATCTTTTATTGAAGGTAAATGTCGCTTTCATTATATTTTGTGAAGATCTCAGTAGAATAGAAAGTAATACTTTCTTTTTCTAATCTTTTTGTTTTTTATTATTTATAAGAAAGACGAAGAATATTTCTGTTATAATTGTCATGTCTTGACTATTTTATTGTATCAGATCACGAATTCTATTGATTAATTGGAATAAAAGAAAATGGAAAATGATTTATTTTCTTTTTCATTTCAACATGAACGACGAGAAGAAGAAAAACGAGAATTTCTTTTCGAATTATTTTCAGATAATTTTCTTTTCCTAAACAAGTACAATGTTATACGGAGCTGGTATCAATATTCTTCTCTTTCTTTTCTCAATTTTAACATTTCTTCTTGTTAACGGTAAAATTTCAATCTTGAATTTCTTTTTTAAAACATTTTTTTTCTCTTAGGTCAAAATTCCTTAGATGCGAAATGTGACGAAAATACCGTGAATATGCATATGCTTCAATGTTATAAAGAATTTATTGATGATACAATTGATACAACATCCCCGGAAAACGCATATTATATGGAAGGATCTTTACTTTGCCAGTTGGTTTTAGACAAAGAAATCTTTTCTTTTTGTTTTCAAAATTTCTTCATTTTCCTTTCAGAGCGTATAATAAAAGTTCATCATATCGTCAATGTCTTTACTCAATCTTTGATCAAGATGAAGTTTGTTCTGCTGATCATTTTCCATTTTCATATGAATATTCCAAAATTTATTGGAAATTGGTTATGAGTTCATGTGGAGTAACAAAAGGTGGATAACTATTCTTGAGAATTTCTCTTGTTGATACTTCTTCTTTTTCAGGTGGTTCATGTCATCCAGCACGTTTAAGTCATCAGGCATTAAGTAAATGTCGTTATTCTTTTGATGATAAATATCCAACAAAATGTCGGTAAGTGTAATGAGTTATTCAATTTGGAAAAAGGAAGGAAATGAAAAAATGTGTTTCTTTTTGTTTTCAGAGAATTTTTACATTCAGTTCAATGTATGGAAAAACATGAAACGGAATTAATACCATTAACATATGGATCAGAATGTTCGAGAAATAAAGCATTTTATTATTATTATGGAGATCTCGCTGCACGTCTTCAATTAGCTGTCAATGTTTGCGAACAAGAATCAGCTGTATCATTGAAAAAATAAAATTAATATCGACAAAACTTATTGAATTTCGAAAAATAAAGAAAAGCTTTTCTTTAATTGATTAATAAATCATCATTCACAGTTCCTAAATGTATTTAACGAGACCATTTACATCTATAAAACAGTTCGAATATTCAATTCTTTGAAATATGTAAGGAGAAGATAAAGGATTTTTGAAAATTTCGAAAAACGAAAATATTCTTTGAGACGAATGTGTCATTTCAATTTGAACTCAAAAGAAATGAAGATCTCATTGAAATTGAATTCATATTCGGACAGATTTTCTATATGACATTAATTAACAGCTACGAAATGTTTTCCAAAAATGAAATACTCATCTTTTTTTAATATTTCAACATCAGATTTTCGTTCATATTTATCTTCATTTTGAAATAAACAGATGTTTTATGGAATATTGTAATTCTGTATCATTAAGTCAACCAGAATTATCCACTAAAAATGACAAACATCACTTTGTTTTTATCTCTTTTTCAGACACAGAATATAAAATCGTGTCAATATTTATCTTTATTTGTGTACTTTTGCCAAACAGTAAATGATATCTCTACTGGAAATACGATGTTCTCTCGTTTTTAGAAGAATTCTCAAGTACTTCATCTGGTTTTTCTCCCACAAAGTATTTTGGTTTATTCCAATCGAGATATTCTATAAGTGGTCACCAATCTTCCCTATGTCGGTTTTACACATCAGTGTGCACAGATAGAAAATCGCCACACAAATCCATCAATATTACACGACTTCATTGCAATTCGAACAGTGAGTCAATATGTCTTCTCCAATATCAATCTGGTTTTTTTTCAGAGTTATTGAGATATTAATTTTTTACTACGAATGGGTGGTACTCTTGATGCTTTCGAGCGTGAGGATGTTCGAAAGAGAAGAACGAACGATATTGAAATCGAAAAACAGAAAGTACTTGATGAACTAGAAGAAAAAAAACGATTAGCAATAAGTAATGAAGAACGTGAAAAGTTGAAGTATGAACAGACTAAAGCCAAAACTGAATTTGAGCTAGAAAAAGCAAAATTAATACTTTCATTTCAAACAGAAGTCGGAAAAATTCAAGCAGAAATCCTTCGAGCAAGAATTACAGCTCAATCATCCTTATACGAAAGGTTTATTCATTTTATGGAGAAAACATTGGCAATAAACACAGCTTTGCTTGAACAAAAAACACAATTATTTGAACTCTCTCTCAATAAAGAAGGTCCAAAGGCAGATGCAATTTTTGAAACAGCACAGAAAATCGACATTTTGAACGCTCAACAGTTAATCGATCTTGGCTCCGAAAAAGTCCGAGAATTGAATTTACAAAACTCTGATGAAATCAATGTTTTATCATCGAGATTGGAACACATTTTCACAACAATCATTGGTCATTCGAACAATGGTGCTGCTGCGATCACTCATCCTGAAAATGATTAACTATTTCACTGTTTTCTTCTTAATTATTAAATTTAAAAAAATTAAAAAAGAGAATTTACAACTATCTTTTACCTTCGTAATGACGAAAGAATCGAGTGAATATCAAGATGAATGTGTTCTTTGCTTTCATCATCGATAGAAATCTACAAATTCATTCCACACAAAGTAAAACGACGGATCGATTCATTGACTTTTCTATTTTTGATTTGGAAATGTTTCACGAACGAATAGTTTATTCACAAGTACGAAACATTGAATTGAAAATCAGTCAAGCGTGCAATCGTTGTCAGGTTTTTTTCTTTTCTATTCGTAATATCGAAGTAGAGACGAAATTATTTGAATAATTATTCTCCAATGCTTTGGGAAAAATTGAATTTTAATGGTAAACCTTGTTTCATTATTATTGATAAGAATTTGTTAGAAAAATCATCGAATTTGGTTTATTCTCTTTCCGATAAAACAACAAATGAAATTGAAAAAGAGAATTTCATATCTTCAAGAGAATCTCAACCGACAAATTTTCTTGTCATTTGGTTAAATTTAACATTAAATGGATTCAATGATGAAATTGATGATTCAATTTTAATCTTTACGAATCTCGATGAATTCATTGACTTTACAACGGAAATCGAAAATGACAAAATTGTTTTAATTCTTTCATCTCTAATTGATGAAAATCTTCTTTTCATTATCGAAGATATTCCACAAATTTATTCAATTTATTTTCATTGTAATCAACGAATTAATTATCATAAATCAAGAAAATCAAAGGATTTTACATTGAAATGAAAGAACTTTCTTCTGCTATTGAACGCGATACTCAACAACGTGAAATTGATTTCATTTCCTTTAGTATTCTTTCAACAATGAACAATGAAACAAAACGTGATCTTAATCAATTAGATTCATCATTTATGTATACAAAACTTCTCAAAGAAATTATTCTCAATATGAATTTTGATGACAAAGCAAAAAGAGATTTTATTCAATATTTATTCAATGAATATGAAAATAATCAATCAATGTTACATCTTATCAATGAATTTAATAAAAATTATAAGAATCATTCATCACTTTGGTGGTATACCAAAGAATCTTTTATTTATGAAATACTTAATAAAGCATTTCGAACACAAAATATTGATCTTCTTATCAAAATGGCATTTTTTATTCAAGATCTTCTTGAAGAAATCAAACATTCACACATTGATCCATTCGATGAACAATGTCCACGAATTGTTTATCGAGGACAAGCTATTTCAAATGAAGATTTTCAACAAATTCGAAATAATATTGGTTGTCTTTTATCTTTTAATAATTTTTTATCAACAAGTAAAGATTATGATGTCGCTTTTCTCTATGCTGAAAGTATTAAACAAAATTCATCTGTAATATCTGTTCTTTTTCGAATTCAAATTGATTTTGTAGAATCATCAACATATTTCACTTCGTTGAATCAAATCACACAACATCATGATGAAAATGAAATACTTTTCTCAATGCATTCTGTGTTTAGAATTGAAAACGTGAAGAAAATCGATGATCAATTATGGGAAATTCAATTGAAATTAACAAGTGATGATGATGAACAATTGAATCGACTTACTGATTATTTTAGAAAAGAATTTGGAAAAACATCAGGATGGAAACGATTGGGTTTATTAATGTTAAAAACAGGACATTTTCGTCAAGCAGAAGAAATTTTCAACAAATTACTTCTTTTAGCTCAACCAAATAATTTCAAAGAAATCGCACATCTTTATCAATTGTTGGCATTTGTCTATGTACAACAGGCGAATTTTACAGCAGCGTTTTCATCTCTTGTCAAAGCTTTGCAAATTCGATTAAAATATTTTCCATCTGATCATTTGATGATAATTACTGAATATAATAACATTGCAGAAACTTTCAGACAAATTGGAGATTATTCGAATGCACTTTTACTTTATCAATACATCTTACAGACTTATCAAAATGAAAACTCGTGGAATTCTGATGCTTTGATTGGTATTTGTAATAACATGGGTCTCATTTATAGTTTATTGAATGATCATTCAAAAGCACTTTCATTTTATGAAATAACTTTAACAATTACAAAAGAACTTTTACCATTAAATCATCCAGCCACATCAATAGTACATAGTAATGTCTCTGATATATACACACACATTGGAGATTATTCCAAAGCACTCTTACATTTACAACAATGTCTTCATATTCGACAGAAAACGCTTCCAAATGATCATCCGTCGATGGCTATTGTATATGATAAAATTAGTATTTTATACAAATTATTAGGTCATTATCCGAATGCACTTCATTTCTCACAAAAAGCAATGGAAATTCAGATTAAATCTCTTCCACACGATCATCCAGATTTAGCTGTTATTTATGCAAATATTGGTGAAATATATGAATTATCAAAGAATTATACGGAAGCACTTCTCTTTTATCAAAAATCACTCCATATTGATGAAAAGATAATTCCTCGACATATTGCTCGTTTGAGTGGTGTTTACAATCGTATCGGATGTTTATATAACTTGAATAGAGATTATTTAACTGCTCTTTCATTCTACAATCAAGCTCTCGAAATGCTTCAAAAATCTTCATGTGATGGTTTTGCCTCTCAAATAGCTTCAACATATTACAATATCGCTCAAATATACAAAAGTATGAATGATTATTCTACTGCATTATCCTTCTGTCACAAGGCGATTGATACCGTAGAAAAAGCAACTCATATTAACTACCAGCAATTAGCTATTATGTATGGTTGTAATGGTTTCTTATATCAGTCTGCTGGAGATCATTCTGCCGCTGAGACGTGTTTTCAGAAAGCACTTGAAATTTGCGAACGTTTTTTCTCTTCTCATTCTATACTTTTAGGTGGTATATATTACGGATTTAGTTTAGTATATGCATCGATGGGTTCATATACAACTGCCCTTTCCTATAATCAAAAAGGACTTGAATTCTTTCAACAATCATTACTTGATTCACCAATTTTACCTCTCATGTATAATCAGAATGGAGAATTATATGGTATTCTTGGTGATGAATCAAATGCACTTTCATCGTACAAGATAGCGTTAGAAATTCAACAAAAGTCGAATCCTAATGATGTTGAAACTATTTTAATGTTTTATACCAATATTGTTAATGTATTTGCAAAATTAGGCGACGTTTCAAATACACAATTGTTTTATGAAAAATTAGAAAGACTTAGAAATGAAAATGGTTCTCACCAGGATAAATTCTTGCACGAAAATTACATTAGCATGGGTAACTTGTATTTTCAGCAAAAGAACCATGATATGGCGCTTCACTGTTATGAAAAAGCACTCGCTTTTGAAAAAGATGGTGATTTTCAGTGTCTTTATACTATTGTTGGTGCGTACAACGGTATTGGACTTACACATTTATCCATGGGAAATTATGAAACTGCCTTGATATTTTTTTATAAATGTCTTGAAATTCAAGGAAAAGATATCGATGAGGGCCAATTGGAACACGCTTTTCTATATTATAATATTGGCAGAGCTTATGAAGCAATAGAGGATTACGAAAATGCATTGAAATTTTTTCACAAATCATTGGAAATCAAACAGAAATGTCTTCCTGCTAATCATCCGTCATTACTTAATACTCATCTGGGTTTATCCGAGATATGTGCAAAATTGCATCAATATAGAGCTGCTCAAGAACATCTTCTGCAAGCTGTTGGAATAGATAATCAAGTTGATGAATCAAATACTTCTGCTGTAGACAAAAACAATGATTTGATAGAAAAATTATAAGAAACTTGATTTTGTTCAATTAAGGGTGAAGGTGAAGATGACTTATTTTTTCAAATTATACTGTTTTCAGCATGTATAAATTTGAAAGTTATTATCATTCGTGCTTTTGATGTTTTCAATTTCCGACATATTTTCTTTTGATTTTAGTTGGGAGAATCCGGAGATTGAAAAAAGATTATAGTAGAATCACATTGAAACGTTGAATTCACCTACCGTCTATTACATTTACAAATATTCTTAGAGCTTAATTATTACCAAATTTGTTATTGGAATTTACTTCTATCGAAGTAGTCACTAAAACTTATTTCTCTAACTGGAATTTCTTCTCACTGTTGCACAGCCATCTACAATTCTCAATCTCAAGCTGAAATAGGTTAACAGAGAGGTGTTTTTTTTTCGAAAAATACAACGACGTCGTTTACTCAGGAAAAAAGCCCGAGAAGTATCTCATTCTCTTCTAATATATTATTGGTTTACGTTTTTCAAATACGTGCATCGTCATTCACATCGTCATAAACATTATTTGATTTGTCAACGTTTTTCTTTCCGACTGCATTTACACTCGGAGATACATGTAAATCAACATGATCATCTTCATATCTGCTCTTTCTTTTCTCCCTACTCACATCGAATACCAATAGAATAGTTCGTCCATATTTCATTGATAGGCGGAGAAAATGATCAATCAATAACAATATAATTACATAGAGGTGAAAGAGAAAGAGAAGAATGTATGTGTCATTTGACGTGAAAAGAAAAACCCAGCAGAAATATATCGCAAGTAAAAGTGAAATCTATTGTATTGAAAAGTATTACATAAATGTATGAGTTATATCAAGATTTCGAATTAGTAACTATATCAGTCGGAAAAGATAGTGGGGAACTGTTCTGTGTATATATATATGTAACGAAAAATCATACATGAATACAATCACATTTGCATCGATCAAACTCGTCGACAAGATATTACTTCAACATTCAAAGTAGTTTAAAGCAATAGCAGTTGAAATAGTAAGTGACGTTTTTCTCATGTTTTGCTTTCTTTGGAAAGATAATTCTCTCTGATCAAAAGTTTCTGATGTGTCATTCTTCATTTAGTTTAAAACTTTTCTTCTCATTAAGTAGCAATATCTTTAAGAATTCGTATGAGGAAAAGCTGAGTAAAACGATGTATTCGATTTTGATTTGTTAGTGTTCACTTTTTGTTAACATCTGATCCGATTTGTAGTAAGATTTCTTCTACTAATTAATAGCAATGAAAAATGCGCAATTGTGTCTACTTCTCAATGAGCTATTTTGAAAATAAGGCTTTTTCTCCGAGAAAATTTCAGAGACATATCGACATTGTCTACAATGTTCATTACTACTATAGTTCATTATAATTATTATCAAGGATATATTCTGTTGATAATACTATACGGAATGTTACTGTGAAAAACTACAAGTATTAATTGTACACTCCCATTTTTATTACATAAACGATGCTAATTTTAGTTAAAACTTTAGTTTAACTATGAGCTGGAAATCGACTGTTCTCCAAGTTACGCTTTAATAGTGTGAGTTTCTCCCATTGTATTTTCGCGTTTATATAGAAGAACACTAAGAGATTATTTTATTTCAAATGAAATTTCTGCAAACGTCGTCAACCCGAAAGATCTTTGAGAAAATAACAGAGAAGTCTGTAGATACTTAATTTTAAAAAATACAGTTTACTAGGAACTCAGAAGATTGCAAGCTTTTCATGTGAGACGTTTTAATGCAGAGGATTAAATCAGGTTTTATTTTCATACTGATATATGTTAGCGATTTTTTGCATTTCGGCACCTTGTAGAACCAATGAACTCCAACAGTATGTGGGCCATTTCAAGTTCCTTTCACAACAAGAGATTTAGTCGTCGCCGAAGTAGTAGCAGTAGCAGCAGCGGCCTCAACAAGCTGTTTGGTCGTCGACGAAGTAGTAGCAGTAGCAGCAGCGGCCTCAACAAGCTGTTTGGTCGTCGACGAAGTAGTAGCAGTAGCAGCAGCGGCCTCAACAAGCTGTTTGGTCGTCGACGAAGTAGTAGCACTAGCAGCAGCGGCCTCAACAAGCTGTTTGGTCGTCGACGAAGTAGTAGCACCAGCAGCAGCAACGACCTCAACAACCTGTTTGGTCGTCGCCCAAGTAGCAGTAGCACCAGCAGCAGCGACTTCGGTACAGGCCCATTCAGCAGTATTGCGAGTTCTAATGCCAAATTTCTTGATGATGAGGACGATACGTTATCATTTGGATGTCTGAATATTCATAGTTATGGCCCACTCTCAGGTTCCCCTCTTGGACCTGATTGGAACAAACGTAAGCGTCGGTCATCTACTATACTCACACTTAATCAGAAAGAAGACAGACATCATCGTAAGAAATGTAATTGTTCACCTGAACATAGTATCAATCCTTTTGGCCTTGACAAGCCTAAACTCAAGGAACACAAGATTCGCCAGCCAAAGAAGCATAAAAGACGAGAAGCAGAGAATTTCCTTCACTTTGATAAGATGCGTCACTCACCTTCTGCTGAACCCATTGTTTGTCTACCTAGTCCTGTTAGTTTTAAACCGAAAAAACATAAGAATTTCATACTGTAAATAGTTTTTAAAAAAACAACGTTTTCAGTACGTCACTTCTTTCAACAATTTTCAGCTTCGATTTTTTAAAATAATTTTGTTCTTTTTATGAAATTTGTCTTCAATTTGCTTGTCTTGATCTGGAACTATTTTGTGAATCCGATTATCATCTACTATTATGCTTGATAAATGTGTGGTTTCTTTTCTCTTGCTATAAACTATTACTCTCTTTATTTCCATCTTTCTTTTGTCATTTCGTTTTGTTAATTTTGTGAATTGACATTAAATAAATAAATTATTCAAGATTCATCTTAGCCGAGGAAAGAATATCTGTTTTTTCTCGCTTATTTAGGAGATGTGAGAATTACGAACGAATGGCAGAGTAAATGTAAGATCCGCTTTAACCCTTTGGAGGCGAATGACGTATATATACGTCCAGGTTGAAATCGACTCATAATTTATTTGTGTATACTTCTTCCGATATTTTAATGGTTTGTGCTGCTATATATCGCTAATGTATTATACTATCATTCGTATTGTGACCTGTTTCACCTTTTTTCTTTTAGTAGTTATATTCACTACTTCTATTTTTTTCGTTATATCTGTGACGATCTTTTTCGCATGCGCTGCACGCATGCTATTTATCCCTACTTCGGTGCATTTTTGTGTACTTTAACATTATCCTTTCTTCCTTTCTATCGAGAGAAGGGTATATAAACGTGTGTTCTGTATTAGAACGATGCGATTGATGATAGGGAGAAATAAAGAAAGACATGATTCCATCGGGATACACATATCTTCCATCAGAATTCGTCACAATATCATATTTCACTGGCATCATGTATCGCCTATATTTTAGTTATCTTCGCACAAATTGTCTCTGGCATCTACCAGTGTGTAAAGAATTGTTTGCTCTCTTAAAAACAACTCCGTCGTCAAGGGGTTCAGAAAAGTGCATTGTTAATAACAAATAACGAATGAAAGTTAATAACTAAGGCACCCACAGCAGCTAGGAAATGTGATCTGTATATACCCAACCATCCAGATATATCCAATATGATAAACTTGGAAAATACCTGTGCTATTATACATATACATGACTCATAAGAGAAGACCAATGGAACACATATCGAGGTCAGCAGAACAAACCAAACATATGTATATACCCAGGTTATCATGGCACGGTCGGTTCCGGCGGGTCAGGTTCGTTTTCCGACCATTTCCTTGCCGCCGGATTCTGGCCGGAAGTTCAAACGTAGGTTCCAGTCATTTCCTGACCGTTTCCTGCAAACTTCGAGCTGGAAACGGTCAGGAACTGATCGGATATTTCCTGTGCAATTCCGGTCGGAATCCGGCGGCAAGGAACCTGATAGAATCGGCGATAACTGTGCCGGAATCGAGAAGAGCTGTACCGGATCAGACTAAGATTTCAACGGATCCAGTCGCCGGAATGATCGAGCTGGATATGTAAGAAGAACGAAAGAAAGCATGTTGGAGAATTCCATATCATACGTTGCGGAATATGCCATAACAACTAATAGCGCTCGTCAAGGCAGACTCGCTTGGCCCTCGACTGAATGACTAACAGTCAACGTTTTCTCTTGCTGAAATCATTCATAAAAATTGGAATTCGATTACTATGTACTCATCATAGCCCTTTTTAACTTCTAATCTTTTAAGTTACCTCGTAAGTATTTCAGAAAAAAGATTTCTAATTCAAATTATAGTTGTGAAAATTTGTTCCACGACTTATGTAATCAACTGTATAACAAAAATTTATTTTATATTCGATTGAAACAAAGAAAAATCAACAGAAAAGAATCAATATCTGTGTAACTATGCACAACATAGTCTGACAGTAAAGTCATGCTATGTTGAAGAATATTAAAATCTAGAAATTACATAATTCAATAAAAGATAATGAAATTCAAGGCAGATTTTCAACATCATTCAATTAGACTTAATATATATTGCTATTTATCAGAATCCCTAAAAACGATCAGATTCCACAACGGATCGTTTGTAAATACCTTTGTGTTTAATCGTGCAATTTGATTATCTCATGTTTATTGATGTTGTCAATGTTTTTCAAAATACTTTATGTTAAATCAGAGATGAGAAATCATAGGCTACGTTCCATGTTCTTGATCGGATAAACGATGTGCGAGAAAAAGAAATGGCAAGACGTATTGTATCGTGAGAATAACGCTGTTGATCGTAGAACAAGAGGCTGAATGAGTGAATACATGAACTGCTTCGCTATTTATAGTTCAAGATGAGAATGATTCACATTAGTGATGTATGAGTCATATTGCTTTATGTTTTGTTCGCTCTAGATTACTTCCTGTCAATTCTATTGATTGATGGCTATAACCATATCTCACCCTTCATTGAGCAAGTGTTTATTTTCCGGCACCATTTTGTTATCTGTGAAGTTCATTTACTAATATCCTGTTTTCATTACGTACAAGAGATAGCACTGTTCATTTTCTTTTTCTTTCCGTTCGTTTTCTCATATGATGACTCGCTCAAACATGATGTGGTCAAACATAGGGGTAGCATGTTAGTCATTAGAAAAAAATCATATTGCTCACAAAAATAGATGGTGTTGCCAGACAGAATAACTTCAGCAAAGTTATTTCTTGCATTGTAGCCGAGCATTTATAAGAGATGTCGAATAAGAGTAATAAATTCATTTTCCTACAAGTGCGACTCCAATCATATCTGTTCGTAGACAAGCTAAGGGTAGCAGGGCAGTACTATTATAGAGAAAAGTTGAAACAACTAAAAGTATATTCTTTCCTAACAGGACAGCGTCCTAAGGTCTCATTGACTAGTATCCATTGTGGACTGAATAAGGGCACTGCTACTATAGAAGAGTGCAGAAATTAGCCAAGAAGAAAAAGTCGTTCGGAAGAACAAACGTTGTCTTCATCTTCAGTACTGATTATTGACTTTAATTCGCTGTTATGTTTAGTGAAATACTTATGAAAAATGATTTTAAACTCTCGACATTGAAAGCATCTTTAGCATGGCTTCACAGAAATCATATGATTGTATGAGATAGAGTCTTCAAATCGGAGCGTCAGGATATTGCAAGAAAAGTCAAAGATTGTTCATTTCTTTGTTAAAACTTTGGTATACCACCAGTTTTAAAATAGAAATGATTGCATTAAATCATCAGTTTTAAGCAGATTACTTATGGTCTTGACTTTAAAATGATCACGAGATACATAAGGAGTATAGTTCTTTTTGGGATTTGCAGTAAAAACCAACGTAGCTAAATTGTGACTTCTATAGCTAAGATTCATAATTTTCTATGCTTGTGCGTACATCATACATGAGTATGAATAGCTATATTACCAGAAATTTCACGCTTCCCATAAAAATCCCTAGACGACATTTTCATATAAATATTTCAAAACCTATTTTCTTAAGTGAAGAGGGAAGCACAGAGAAAATAGTGAACAAAATAAGATTCAGATTTATAATCCATCATCACCGATTTTCTCGATGGACTGTTACAGAAAAATCACTTGTATACCTTTGCCTAATTCTTGTAGCAATCAGTGAAGCGAAAAGTCATACAGGTGTCCAAGTTATTTTATCTGATCTATTCTGCGTCAGATAGAGAATCGTCTTTAACGATCTATGCCATATCTTCATCAAATGTTTTGTGCGTCTTTGAACTTATCTTCTACGGCGCTCTTTTGGCCCCGTCAGGCATCTCCTACCAACCTATACCCTCAACACTCCATCCAAACGATGTTTTATGCGTTTTCTAGAAAATGTTTTTTTTACCTTTGACTGTGACACAAACAGACAAACTTTATTTTCATATGGCCCTCCTTTCAGTCGAGGGAATATACAGTCTATGACGATTCTGTATTTATAGGTGATCTATTTTTTAATACAACTAAAACTTGGCTTAATTGGATGCCACATCTACGAATATTAAATATTGATAATGAACTTTTATCCCAACTAAATCTCGATAAATTTTCGTCTTTAAAGATATCGGCCTGGCCACGTAATTATAGCCTTCCATGGGTGAGGTCGAAAGTGAAAATGAGCCGACAGTGTCTATGCCAATCTGATGGTAGTAGGCTAAGGTGTTGAAAATAAATCTGCAAATCTTCGAGGATCAATTGGGCTTTAGAAGGGAAGCGCAAGAAGACAAGCCTCTCTATGCTCGCTGTGAGCTGCGGTATACCTTTTGAATATTAGTGTCTCGTACCCGGACAGAGAGCAATCCTTTTCTCGTCTTAGTCCTACAGTCTTGTAGAGCTGGTTGACCCTGATTAATCGACATAGTTGGAAAAGTCATCAGTTCTTTCTTCTGTTGAGATGATCAGCGTTCAAACTCACTCATCTAAGCCATCCGTGCATCAGGATTTTTACTCATTATTTCTTCCACGCGCCGTGAGGTGACACTTCGCAGCTATATTCCATAGATACTCTTAGATGCAATATTGCCTTGATCAATGAACATATTTCGAGGCAGCGTTGCTAGTGTAACGGATGAAAGAGGAAACGTGACGCACGGACACCCTCAAGTGCGATTTCTCGATTAATTCGCGTGTAGCTTTTCCTCGTTAGTGACTGATCATAATTACTATGCACATTTTTGTTTATGTGTCAACACAGCGAAAAGTCACTCGCTGACAACATGGAAGCCACTCTTGTTAATCTTTCTCGCATCTCCTTTCGAAGAGATCGACCGTTGGGAGAGAGATACGTGGCCGGACAAATGAGAATGAACAGAAGAACGACAAAATAGTCTGGCGTGAGCGTTGACTTTCTCTTTCTTATGAACGAAATTCAAGTTCTTTTCTGCTTCTTTAATTTGAATTTTCGAGGCCGTTGCATGGAAGACAGGACATACGAGATAGACGTCATTCACACTCTGATACTTCGCAAGGACGGTTGAACGCCCGATGGCTCTCTCAGCCGCTGAACGATCTCGTCGATATCGAGAAAACAAAAAAAAGCAAGGCTTGTACCAACAAATGAAGATGAAACACCGGGAACAACAGCGAAAATCACGTGCAAATCGCACTCATGCAAAGAAAGTTGCCGATCGTCGCCGAGATGCACTTCGCAAGCGACAAAGCCGACATGCGATTTCTCAACAGTTGACCAGTGCGAGTGATCACGATTCTTCACCGACTTTTGTGTCTGCACAAACGCTCGGCAAAGCAATGAAGAAAGTCACGAAGGCCCTCCCTTCCAATACTCCAAAGAAATTCGAAGTGGTCAAGCGACTGGCCCAAAGTGTCGGTCTTCTTCCACCTCCTCAATATCCTCGAACAGCTCGAAAACTGGCGGACGCTACACTGTAGGAAGTAGTGAACTTTTACGAACGGGACGACGTTTCATGGCAAGCACCAGGCAAACGAGATACCGTGACGATCAAACGCGATGGGAAGTCCGAGAAAATTCAGCGTCGACATCTTCTCTTCAACTTACGTGAACTCCATGGTTTATATCAACTGCAGTTTCCACAATACCCAATCAGTCGAGCTGCATTTCAAGATTTACGTCCATCTCATGTGAAGCCTCTCTCGACACTTAGTCAACGCGTGTGTGTCTGCGTTCAACATGCCAACGTTCACTTGCTTCTCAAAGCCCTGCTGACACACGTCGATGGCCTTAACAATGACCTTCATTATTTCGTGAAGATGCTCGTATGCGACGATGCGAACGAGGAGTGTATGATGCGGCAGTGTCTCACGTGTCAACACTTTTTCACACAAAAAATCGAGAATAAAATTCGGAACACGACATCTCCATCTTCAATCACCTGGCAACAATGGATCAACAACGGACATCGCTCTACAAAATCCGATGTTACTGGTACAGTCCGGCAATGCGTTACTGTTTTGGGATCAAAAGTGTCATCTTTCTTATCACACACCTGGATCAAGCGTGAACAAGCAAAACATTTCGAATTTCTCAAAGGAAATGTTTCGACCAAGATGATTCTTGCTCAAGTCGACTACAGTGAGAATTTCGCAATCGGATTTCAAGATGAAATTCAAAGCGCTCATTGGCGCAAGAAACAACTGTCCGTCTTTACTGCTCACGTCTGGCTGGCTAATTCGGAAAGTGAATCGTTCACATTCATCTCGGACGATACCACACACAACAAATACACCGTTCACGCCTGTCTCGAACGATTGCTTTCCGTGCTACAGAGAAGCGTTCCTGACCTACAGGAAGTTCACTTCTTTTCTGATGGCGCCGCATCACAGTTCAAACAACGTTACTTATTCCGCAATCTTACTCACCTCGCGAAAGCATTTAACGTCTTGATCAGTTGGCATTTCTTCGCGTCTCACCATGGGAAGGGCGTGGTGGATGGTTTGGGAGCCACCGTCAAGCGACTCGTCCATCAGCAAATCCTCACCGGCAAAGACTGCCGACTTCGTTCGTCTCGCTCGATCAAAAACAGATGCCGTCACGGTCGAAGAACTACTCGTTGGTGAAGTCGAAGCGGCCCGAGAAGAGCTACATGAAATATTCATGAATACTCGAAATGTTCCTGGTGTTCAGAAGATTCATTCAATCGACACGATGGGCGTCGATGTTATTCAGTATCGAAGCTATTCGACGAGCAAAGAGGAAATCATCTTTCGATTTTAACGAACGCAATCCACTATCACCTGCTTCTGAAATCGTTCAGACATTATTTTCATTTTATGTATATCTATTGACTAGTATCTAGTGATTTTTGACGATTTTCTCCTTCTCTGCGTTTGTGTCAACTCTTCATTGTACATGTAGAAAACATAGAGCTAAAGACTTAGTACGAAGATCTTATGTTTCATCAGTAGCAAAGATAAATCTGTAACGAATGTTGTTGACAACAAGGTCACCCATAAAAAAATCGAAAAAAAGTGTCCGTGAGTCACGAAATGAGTCCATGCGTCACGATGGCTTTTCTCCTCTCATTTTCGTATACTAGCGGGAAGCTGAAAGTTAAGCGTGCCATGCAAGAGCTTACGCCTTGCCCTACAAAATGTCTCACACGTAATTTCTCTATCACTCTTTACTTCAGAGAACTGACTGAAGATCTGGTCGTGTTGTCCAAGGACTTCCATTTTTTGTCCGTGCGCAACAGGACTTAATGTGACATGAGCTGGTTGAACGAACTTGCCGAAAGAAGTTACGTATTTTATGGGATATAGAACTCAGTTAGTGCTATCTGTGGCAGAGATCTTAGTCCCTCGCAGATGTGTAGAAATGAAGTAGGACGCAAGTGTTTGTAAAAAAATGTCCATGCGTCACGTTTGGCCAGGCCGATATTAATTATTCGTCAAACTAAGAATATTCTTACTATTGAACCATTGACACTCATTACTAATCTTGGTACATTCTCTTCATTATATGCTATTCGTATACAACAATATAAAGGAAATTTTCAATTGACGACTGTCGATCTATGCTTACGATTATATATGCGATCTGTCAAAATATAAGAAAATTCAAAGTTATGTCTATCGACTTTAGCAAAGATGTTCCGTTTAGTCGACAAATACTGGAAAATATGAATGATATACAAAAGAAAAATTGCTGCTTATTGGAGTATATACGTATATCAAATGATTATGTTGAATTGTATTTTAATCAATAACTGTATATATCTGATTCTGTTGTGTTTGTTTTTTGACGCCTTATTCGAATATTATTTGAATCCATAGTTAAACTAAGCGATAACACATCAGGATCACCATAAAGTAAAACATGATTTGTTTTCAAATTTTGAAAACTCTTTTGTACGTAAAAAATCCATAATTTTATGTTCACCTTCGCCAAGTACATTGACATCTGATAATATTACAATGATTGACTTTCAAGCTGGAATATTATTCATACGATCACGAATATACGGTTAAAGTTTATCAGATAATTTTGACATGAGCATTGTATGAAATTTTATATAACATTTAGTAAATTGTTCATCGACAGAAGCATGCTCCTTTGGATAATTAAAAAGACTTACGCATTCCTGATGCATTTTCGCTCTAGGTGCAACTCCATCAATAGCCATGTAGATTAATTTACGTGGACGAATAATTGAAAATATTTCATCAATACATCGGGAAACTGATTGAATAATTTCATTCATCTCCAAATAGAGATTACCAACCTGAAATTACAATTGAATATAAAATTGTAGGAATCAAATTATACTTCGACTCCATCGAAATTATAGGTTTGTTCATTCCCTGCAAAATAACAAGCATAAAAATGATTTTTATAGAATATTTAGCTCACCCTCAAACGTTTCAATTTATTGAATCGACTGGAAAAATCCCAGTAGTACTTTTCATTTTCGACGCAATATAATTTGACATCGAGAGATTGTTTCCGTATATTCTGAAGAATGTAAGAATCCCGTCATTCTGTTTTCTTTTCACTTTACGAAGAGTAACATCAAAAGCAGTTTATATTTTGAATATTCTCTTTATATGAAGAAAAAAAATAGGCGCTTCGCACGCCATAGGGACGCAAACATTTTCTTCCAGCGTCAGATACGATAGAAAGAGATTCGACAAATATTTCTTGCATTTGCTGTAAACTAATATATTGAGCGAAAAGGGCGGGGTACCTATAAGAACGCAAATCGGCTCGTTCTCCAATTAAACAAACATATGTATGAAACGGTTACATTTTCAATGTATTTGAAAGATCAATCAGTAGTCTCCATTGGATAATTTCGTACTGTAGTTTTACTTCATTTCTATAGCAGAACTACGCCAAATTTTGACCAGAATGTCATGAAAAAATAGGTTTATAAGGTTGCAAATAATATCATTTGAGAGAGAGAGAAGTAAAACTCAAATCTCTGAAGCAAAACGACACTGCCACTGGTATTTCGTTCTCCAATAGGGATATTAACACTCCAAAAGCGAACAAAAAATTCTTTACAACGGAATTTGACCTACACGGTTCGATGCAGTTCTTCACGTGCTAAAAAGGCGCATAGTTACCATCTTTCTATTCTTCTAGCAGAAAGTTTTTATACAGCAGAAACCTTTGAAAATAGAATATTTGATGTACTGATTGTTTACGATGCTGTGTTGTATGGTTAAAATCCTTGATAGAAATGTGTTTTTTTCGAAAAATACAACGACGTCGTTTACTCAGGAAAAAAGCCCGAGAAGTATCTCATTCTCTTCTAATATATTATTGGTTTACGTTTTTCAAATACGTGCATCGTCATTCACATCGT